ATGAGATTAGATTAATATTTTAGATTTAATGCCCTTCTAGAAAATAGGTAAAACTGCTTGTATCGTTTACTTCGTTTTTATACTTATTAATAATTAGATGTTATTTTGACCTTCTTTTTTTTGGAGTGCATAAAACCCTTAAGAACTGTTAACTCTTTCAAAGTGCTTCTATTATGTTGGCAATTTTGTCTGATTTATCAGGAGATAAATAAGAGACAATTGCATGCATAATAGTTTTTTGGTTTTCATTCATTCAATGATTGATTTCAATGATTGCTTTGAATGATTTTCATTCATTGTAAATTAAACAAAACCAATTTATCTTTAGACCCTCTTTTAGGATGGCATCTGCCAAAAAGTATTTAAATATCATTAAAGCTCAAATAACTTCTAAATTGAGTCAAAACATCAGTTACTTTGCACAAATCTTTTGGTCAGTTTTATTTGCTGAAATTCTTATACTCCTCAAGAGATAAAGGGAATTCAGACAAGTTAATAAAAAATTTACCTTTAAAAAAGGAATGTTATTTTGTCTGTAATAAGGTGTATGTCAACTTACTATTAAATGTATGAGAATTAGGATTGGATTACAGAAAAGCACGTGAATGCTATCTGCTTAAGGGGATGGATGCTTTCGTGTAAACCTTTAAAGAGAAAATTGCTCGCATTTATGCTCCTGATGGAAAACTCCACATGTAATCAACCTGTTGTCCGAGTTTGATTGGATTAATTTTGTTCGCTTACTGAATTACATCAAAGCACACAACAATTACCTGTATAAAGTGAGGGATGCCTTTGCGGAGGACTTTCTAAGGGAAGCTGGCTTGTATTTAGGTTACACAATAACCATGAATCCAACCCTTTAGCCGAGATTCAAACCCGAGTGAACTACAAGTGTTCAGCCACCTTTACCACTCTACTGAAGGACCTGTAAAAAAAATTGATAAAGAAAAAGTATTGAAATAACCAGTTTAATTTACTAACCTATTATTTCTCAATCGACAGTACATAAATTAGACATATGAGGGGATTATTTGTAAATAAATAAGCTGTCTTGCACTTTTCTCCACTGTTTCATTGTACGAAGGAATTATTGCATTTGAAAGTTATTTCTCATGAATTAATTTTGCTTCGTCCATGATTTTTTATTTTTTCAAAGAGAAAATTTCACACTTTAAATAAAAAATACACGAGAACATACTTTATGCAAAATTTGGTGTAAACAGTTTTCTTAATTTTGCTTTGAAAATATTCCAGAGTAATCATTTTTATTACTGGAAGAAATATGAAAAACAGATTTACTACAATGTAAGTGTCAAAACCCAGTATGCCCTTATTCTTTTGAAAACATGAAAGATTACTCTTTCTAAAATAAATTAGAAAATATATTATGTGCAAATAGAATATTCGTTGAAAATGAAATAGACTTCAACATATGGTTATAGACAAAATTTCTGTCTATGAAAGGAAATTGGCGTATAATTCTTCTAAACATTTAAAACTGTACTGAAAAATACTTTTGATGATTGCATGTACAGTCAAAAGTCGTTAATCCGGACTCGTCGGGACTTCGGCGATTCCGGATTATCGATTTTTCCGGATTATAGATCATCAGTTTAAATCGCGTAAGATGGCATGCAGAAATTCTAAAATTAAAAATATGAAACCGTAATTTATGAAATAAAGAACAATTATGATCTAAAGGGTATCAAAATTTTACAAAAAAAAAAAAAAAAAAGCTTAATATTTATTTGTTTACTTTATTAAAACATTTCTTTTAATTTAAGTTGTTTCGTTTTATGTGATAATAACTTTCTCTTTAATTCTATAAACAGACATAATTTTTTTTGTTCAGTTACAAAGTTCCGCTGTTCAAGTCCCGTTAATTGCCGTGCCGAGAATACCGACTAACTTGTCAATCGAAATTTTTTCGTTTTTCACTAACCTCTCTCTGTCACATTCTTCATGTCTTTATATCCATTTTTTTATCCATTTTTTGCAGCAATTCCACTTTTTGTTTGATGGACAATCGAAACATACTTTCGTTTTGTGCGATCCTTTGGGAGCTCCAGATTCGGAAATTCTATTTGACATAATCGAAAGTTCAAGTTTACTTTTATAGCATTGCTCTTACAGTCTGCAAAAAATAATAAGCCGCATCCAATTCAAAAATTAAGGAACAATGCAATCATCAACATTAACTGAAATAGATAATTTTAGCTTATACCGTTTGTTATACATAAAACGCGCACGCGAAAACGTATTCTGCGCTTGCGCAGTCGTAAGAGGTCTTACGCGCACGCGTAAACGCCTATGCGCATGTGTCAACGAGGTGCATGCGCAGAAAGTTTTTAGCTTTGAGGTACGGATTATAGATCATTCCGGATTATGGGTGTCTGAATTAACGACTTTTGACTGTATACGTCACAGATTTGTTTTCTCTGCTAACATAAACAAAAGCCAATTTTACAAAGAAAAATTCTCGTTAAAGCTATACCTCCTTTGCCTGATAGTCCAATGTAATATTTGTAAAAGTTAAATGATGAGACGCAACAATATATCTCTGATTTTCTTTTTTATATTATAATAACAAAATTATCGAAAAAAAAACAGATTTAAAGCTCTCTTATTGTTATGTAAAGCTTTATTATTATCATCTCAAAATCTAACTGTATTGAATCTCATTCTAATCATCTAATAGTAATAAATATTATTAATGAATTTATTATTATTATTTCATAAAATTAGTCATTACCATTATTTTGTTGATGAAAATATGTTATTAAAAATCACATTCAACCTGCAGACTTACAAAGCTAGTTCGTATTTATTACATTTTGTAAAATTTTGTTTTCGTTTTCTAATTTCTAATATGAAAATATGCGATTATAAATGAAGTGTGAAAACAAAGTTATAAAATTCACAAATTATTGCCAAGATTGATCAGAAATAGTAAATGAAATATAAACATTGCATACATTTTGTTCTAAATACTTTTTATTTAGAACTTCATTTAAATGAAAGCAAAATAATCATAAAAAAAATCGCAAATCTAGCAACCCATCTGCTATGGAACAGCATCTGACATGTAAATTCTACTGCATCCATGGAGGGGACTAACGACTTTTCTCATTAGGAAAATGTGAAAAGAGGGGGCAAAAGTGTTTTGGGTCGCGCTGGTCTGAAGGCTATATTATGAGAATTTCGGCCAAGTTTTAGAAAGTTAATCAGTCCTCTGGTAGTGTAAAATATTAATATTGTTTTGTATTATTAGTTTTCTTTCTGATGTCATTTATGCTTGTAATATTTACAACTTTTTATGTTGATAATCTAAAACAGATGCTGATAATGATATAAAAAATACTGAATGAGAAACTTGAAAATAATTAAAACAGTAGAATATGTTTTAGCGTTATCGCAAAATCTGGAAATATAGACCATGTGAAATTGAAAATTTTTTTAATCTTAATTATATTAATTTTTTGATTATCTGGTATGTTTTTTTTTAATTTTTATATATTTTATATGTTGATATATATTTTGAAACATATTCAATATCTAAGTATTTGCACATATATTAGATGTCTGCTATGTATATACTGAACCAGTGATAATTGATATAAAATTTTATATGGCAAAATGGCTTTTAATTTCTGTGATGATAAACCAGTTTTAAACCGGGAGAAAATGTAAGAATAAAATTAAGATCATTCTTATTCAGAGTAAATATAGAATTTTAAAAATTTCTTTTTCTTAGGAGAGCCAGTTTTAATAACCTAACAGTTGCAGTAGCTAATATATTTATTTAGTGTACATCTAATAACAATTTGCAATCTGATATTTTATACTCGAGTTCTTCTGTTGTATTTAGAGAATCAAGAAACACATATAGATCATTAATTTTTTTCATGAACTTTCTTTGGACAATTGGGTTATCCAATGAGGAAGTGATTTTTTAGCGTGTACTTAAAACAAATTTTTCTGTTAGTAGGAGACTGACATTGTTTGTGTCACCTCCTGCAGTTCTTGTTTTTATTTTCTGTGATACTTTCTAAGACTTCTTTTTTTTCATAAACTTTTGTGCTTTACTTTAGGCATTTCTCATCAGTTTATAGCAGTACCAACCTGCTTGCAGGAAAGTTGTTCTTTACCTGTTTCAGCTGCTTGTCCTATTTCAATCACTTTTCCAACTTCTAGTGCAGGTTCTCAAAATAAACTTTCTTACAATCTGTTATTATGGATTCACAGCACCATGCAGTTGTGTATGAGTTCATCTTATTGGTCTCCAAATTTGCTTGTAGATGAAATACTTCATTATATTTTTCACTACTTTCTGAAAGTTCAGAGCTTACAAACAAAGTTCAGGTTACAAAGTTTAAGCCCTTCATTGCTTGGCAGATTTAACAGGATAGCAATTTTATTTTGTCTGTATGAGAATCTTTTTCAGTTGCTATAAAATATTTTTCTAATTGCTAATGAAATTTCATCTGTTTTTTTTATTAAATATCCATAGGACAAGAATCAGAAACCTGAAAACTTCTGTGTTTACAACATTTTTATTAGAATCTACTACAGTCAACTTTTGCCCAATTTACTTTTGACAGAATCAACATATTTTCATTTGGTTTACTTTTGACACTGTTTTGTAAATAGCTCTTACAATGTGTCAATGACAGATTTAGAAGTAATTAGTGTTAGTTACAACAAGTTTTAGCTACTATAGTAGTTTCAGTTAGGTACAAATAACAATAGCAAGCAAGAATAATAGCCATAATCTTCTTAATTCTTTAAAACTGTGCCCTTCATCCTTCTTAGTAGTACCATGGTAACAATTTTATGCCTGCTATAGCATCTGCAGTTATCCTGGCAATATAAAATCTCTGTCTGTGAATATATATGTTTGTTAAAATAACAAATATGTATACATTTGTTAATAAATGTATATATATATATATATTTTTTATAACATCAACAGATTTTTTTTCATTTATTTTTATTAGATAGATTTTCCATTTCCAGCAGTTATCCATCGAAAATTGGAATATATTAAAAAATCTAATCTACTTGGCATGAATTTTAACTCTACTCTTAAACCTAACATCAAGGATTCTAAAATAGGTTAGTTTGACTAATATCATTTTTATGTATTCATGTATGAAAATATATATAGTATCTGACTAAAATTATTAGACATGAGGAAAAAAAGCATGCTTGAATAGAAATGTATGTATTATTTCTCAATTAGTTACTGCATAAAAAGATTTCTGGGTTAGTCTATATTTTAGGGTGCCCTTTTTGATTATTGCCAAGTTGTTGTTTCATTTATGGTAAACTGAATAGTTGAATGTTATAGAAACCTATTATGACGTGATTGTGTGATTGCTGTGAATTTGACTGATGGGAAAATATTTGTAAGGGCTTATTGGATCTTGGTTAGGAAGTACGTTGCTTATTTTGTGCTTTATACAGCAAAATGGCTCTATGTAAGAAGATTAATTAGAAGTTTCTGTATGATTTGGAAAGAAAGAAAAGAAAAGCTGCAACTGACTGGTGTGTAAGTGAAGGTTTACTTAGTAGCCATTATAAGTGTCCTGTTTGTACAAAGGAAATCATATGGTCGAACGCAAAGATCGTTCAGATGGCTTTGAATGGGTTTGTCACAAGAAAGGTTCAAATGCTCACTAGAAAGGGGACATGGTTTGAGGAAAGTTTTTAGATGGTGTTAAAGAATTTAGTGTGCCACAGAGTGAAGACACAGAAATTTCTAAATAAGGTAAGTGGATATTTCCTTGGTGTAGTGTAGATGCGATAAGATGTATTTCTTTTTTATGTTGTTTCATTGTTTGATTTAATATGCAGTTTATTGAAATTATATATTTTTTGTTTGGCTCTAGTGTAGAACTGGGGGCTGCTTCGATTTTTAAGTGAAATTAGATCGATGTGTACATGGACAAAGTCAAGGAAGTGCAGAATGCCGAGTTTGTGCAATTCTCTGATTTTTTTTTTAAGTGAAAAAAGATCAATGTGTACATGGACATGGAATTTGTGTAATTATTTGACTTGTTATTTTGGTTTTGTGTGGTGGCCATCTTGAAATTATGCCTTGCTGGCCAATCTCCAAAAATCGTCAGTTTTCGCTAATGGGCACGCTAAAATATATTTTTACCGATTTCTGCTAGAAAATTGTTAAAGTGATTAAGTATTTAAAAGTTTTTGATATAATAACATGGTTTTCAGTGTATAATGTAATGTCAAATGAAAAATGACTTGAGAGGATAAAAGTATATTTTACGGGAACCCCTTGGCGAAAACTGATGATTTTTGGCGGCACATGGATACCGAATTTGTGCAATTCTTTGACTTGTATCCATGTACACGTTGACCTATTTTCACTTAAAAAAGCATCAGAGAATTGCACAAATTTGGCATTTGCGAACTCCCTTGACTTTGTCCATGTGTTTACATGGACGATATATTTTCATTTAATAGTTCAATTGAGCACTCAATTCTAGGTAAAAGTATATTTATGGAACATTCAACTTATCAGGTATCATAAATGAAACAACAACTTGGCAATAATACAAGTGGTACCTTTCAGTCTACTCTAACCCTTGAGAGTTCATTATAGCTGTCTTATTGTGGAATGCAGTGTAATATTTAAAATAAAAAAATATATTTACATGCTTGAAGATTGGGGGGGGGGTATTATCAAGGTTACTATTTGTAAAAATAAGTAATTTGATGTATGGGCCAGGTTGTAAGCAAAAAATTCTACATCAATGAGACAATAGAAAATTCATTCAGTCTTCCCCCAAAAATCTATGAAAAATAAGAATTTTGAATGTTAGAATAAAATAATAGGTTCAATTAAATCTTGTCATTATATTGAGAAAAAAGAATTTCTGTATTTTCAACATTAAATCAGTGTATTTTCCTGCAGTTATCTCAAAACATTTTCTTTGGAACTTCTGTTATTAAAAATTTCTAATTCTTATGTCAGAGCAATAAATTTAAATTGAAGCGTAACGCCTTTTCTGTCTGAAACACTGTAGTTTTCAGTAATGTAAAAGCTTATGTGTCCATAACTTTCAACTTTTATGTTAGTGGGAATGTTTTTTTTTTTTTTTTTTTTTGTTTGTTTGTTTCTGTATGTGTTATAAAGCAAGCTAGAAGATGTACAGAAACAAACAATATCTGTTCTTTATGCAGAGTCTGTAGCAGTGCTTTTATATGAAGAATTTTTTGTGACTTTTTAGCCTCCAGTATAATAATGACGTTGAGAAAGAGTAATAATTCTTGCTGTTTTTTTATGGATATCGAATCTATTAAAATTCTATAACTTCATTCTGAAATTTAATTTCTTGGAAATAGATAGATACAGTGGCTCACAAAAATGATTGGGCTCTTCGAATTTTTGCATTCTTTAATGAACATAAAAGCTAAAATAAATTAAAACAAAAAGAAAGGCTTTTATTTTCATTGTATATAAATTGAACATTTTTTATAGTTATTACATTTTTGAAAAGCAGAAAATACTGTCTATACCGTTTCTGGATTTACACATATTCCATATAATTCACAAAGTTCCGCAACAAGTTTAGGAGCACTCACTTTTGGATTCTTTTTAATGCTCCTTAGAATAAAGCGTTTCATTCCATGAGAAAACTTAGATGGTTTCCAGGTCTTCTTTTGTTTTGAATATGATTCTGTATCTTGTAACGCTTAATAATATCAAAAATTGTAAATGCACTTAAATTAAGTAAATAGGCAATTTTTCTTATAGGTTTCCCTTTCTTTTGCTGCAAATCAATAACTAATCTGCAGGTTTCTAATGATGTTTCTTTAAACCCAACCATTGCAAAAAAACATAAAAATAACAAATATTTTCTATAAAGAAAATTCAATTATAAAAGCAAACAATTTTTAGAGTTTTGCCTAACTTCTTTATCCAAACCAATTCCATAAATTTTCATTCTTTATTTATTGCAGATGATTTTAATTAGAAACTATGAAAATGTCCGATTAATTTTGTGATATCTTTTTCGTTCATTTCAGTCTAAAATGCTAATTTTTAAATTTACTATTTTGTTTTTTCAAATTTATTCAGTACAAAGAGATAGAGAGGAAAATATGTATTCAAAATGAAAATATTATTTATTAATTTACTGCAAAGCTTTTCTTATATTACTTTAAAAAGTTAAAATATTGTTGTGCCTGATAATTTTTGTGAGACACTGTATCTCAGTCACAGAAAGCAGAACGTTTAACAGATGAGAAAATTGTTTCCAGATATAAATTCACCAACAGCTAATGGTGATTAAGCAGAATTTTATTAAGATTTAAAAACATAATGAGAAAATAAACAGAAGAAGCTCTTCACATATTATACACCTTTTTAAAAGTCCTTCTGAAACATTAGTTCTGAATTCAGAGTCGTAACTAAGGATTTCAGCACCCAGGGACAACTGAAGATTTTGCACCCCATTCTGTGTGTAGAGAATGGAAAACATTTAATTCTAAAATTTCATAGCACCAATTTGCTGCCTTCTGATGTTACGCCTGAGGACAGATGTCTCCCCTTGCCCCACCTTAGCTATGTTACTGTCTGAATTAATTATCTAGATTATTTCTTTACAAAAAATTTGTTCAGAAGTTAGAAAATGTAAAACAGGTTAAGACTCACCTGCAAATCATTTTTGTTAAAGTATGTTGTAGCTATTTATGTCTCTGTTATGTATTTGACTAAAACAACTTTATTTAAAAGCTTTGTAAAACTTGTATTTTATGCTTTACGTAAAAATTAAACATCGATTAGGTTCGACCTCCTCTTTTAGGGGCATGTGTATGTATTATGTTTATGTTTTTTGATGTTTTATGTCATTAATTTTGTGTATTATTACTAAAAAATTTATTAAAAACTAAAACCTTGTAAATCGTTTTTTAAACGATTTACCTCAATTTTCATTTTTCATTTCATGAGGTTTGAGAGATATCAAGATTTTACTATATTTGCTGCTGGAAGTTTATTTAGAATTCTTGGATAGGTTTAATATAGAGAAGATCCAGAGAATGATTTGAAAAACTGAGTTCCAGTACCAAAATATGGCAAAGGAGAAGTTATGATGTAGGAATCTATATATATAATGCTGTATGAACTTAAATCCATTTAGTCTGAATACAAGTTATTATTACTTGCGCAATTGCTGCAAAGTTAGTTAATAATAATTTATTTCCTAAACAGTATTGATTAATTGATTATATTATCTCCTAAATTTAATTAAAGTAGAATTATTTAAAAGTGTGCATCCATACTGGTAAGTTATATTTTGAAAGATGTTTTGAAGTAATTTGAAAGCAAAAATGTTAATAATGTTTTAACGGGGACTGGAGTTAAATCATCACGAAGATATAATATACAAGTGTAAAAGTAAAAATAAAAATAAAAGTAAAAATTAAAAACATGTAATTATTGTCATTGATCGGAAATTAGTTGACTTTTCAAGGGGAACAAACCAACTCCCGTTCAATGATCAATAATTGATAAAAATACGTAAATATGAAAGTGGTTTCGTCTTTACTCGAGTTATAAGTTAAAGCCAACCGGCAATTCTAGTCAGGCTAAATATTTCCGTGAATAGTTGTTACTCAAAGAACTTATTCTCATGAAGCATTTTAGTCAATTTAATTTGGAGTAAAAATCAATTACTGTAGAGAAATCCTGTAAAACTCGAGTAATCGTCCCCCCCGACACTATCATCTTTATGTATTGAGTACTATATATTTGTAGAAATTAAACATTGGAAATTGTCATTATGAAATCGAAATCAAAGTAAATTGAAATAAACATAGAAGATTATAAAAAGATAAATAATGCAAACTTTGTAAAACAAATCAAGAGAAACATAAAAATAATATAAAATAAAATAGAAAATAATATAAATAAGATCAGTGAATGTACATGAAGATATAAAGGCCAGAAAGGTATTAAGTAACTTACATTCTTTCTAGTGGGGGAGTTGGCTATGTGTTCTCTTCGTGTCTGACTCAGAAGTGTAGGGTGTCCGAAAATTCTTAGCGGCAGTAGGGGCTTTGAATTATATCATTCGGTAAGACTTGGGTGAAGTAATTTATGGTAGTGGGTGGGACTTGGAATTCTTGAGGGATGTATTTTGTGGAGTTCTTATCTGAGAGAGACCGTCTGTTAAGATAATCTTTACAATTAATAATTTTGGTAAAATTGAAAACTCCGACATTTATCCGAATTGTCTTAAACTTAATAAAACTAATAATTCACAAAATAGCATAGACTTTCTAGATCTTCAAATCATTAACTACAAAAAAATTTTACTTTTTGACAAAACAAGAAACTTCAATTTCAATACTAACAAATTAATAAATTGGAACTCCAACATATATCCAAAAAAGTAATTAACAATACTATAATTAATCAATACAACGAATTAAAACTATATGCACAGATACATAGATTTTACAACGCGAAATTTTGATCCTTATCAAAATTCTCAAAAATAATCTAATTCCCTTTCAATTTATCAACCATTGCCTTAAAAGAGCAGGCGTTAAATACTCACTCTAAATCATTTAACTGATAGGGATATGATAATTTATTCCTAAACCTGAGAAGGCGGTATAAGTTGGATGACTGTCAGTTGAAAGATTTGTATATAGTGTAATTACTCAATTGTATATATTGTAAAAAGCTAATTGTCTTCAGACATATACTGTTACTAAAAAAATGGGCCTATTTCCTGCCTTTAGACTGTCTACTAGCTCTTGGACAGCGAAAATGCCTTTTTCCTTTCTTAAATTCTTAATCATTGCGACACGACAATTAGCCAGAAATTAATTAATTTCTTAACAGACGGTCTCTCTCAGATAAGAACTCCACAAAATACATCCCTCAAGAATTCCAAGTCCCACCCACTACCATAAATTACTTCACCCAAGTCTTACCGAATGATATAATTCAAAGCCCCTACTGCCGCTAAGAATTTTCGGACACCCTACACTTCTGAGTCAGACACGAAGAGAACACATAGCCAACTCCCCCACTAGAAAGAATGTAAGTTACTTAATACCTTTCTGGCCTTTATATCTTCATGTACATTCACTGATCTTATTTATATTATTTTCTATTTTATTTTATATTATTTTTTATGTTCTCTTTGATTTGGTTTTACAAAGTTTGCATTATTTATCTTTTTTTATAATCTTCTATGTTTATTTCAACACTTTACTTTGATTCGATTTCATAATGACAATTTCCAATGTTTAATTTCTACAAATAATATAGTAATCAAATACATAAAGATGAGAGTGTCGGGGACGGTTACTCGAGTTTTACAGGATTTCTCTACAGTAATTGATTTTTACTCCAAAATTGAATTGACTAAAATGCTTCATGAGCATAAGTTCTTTGAGTAGCAACTATTCGCGGAAAATTTGGCCTGACTAGAATTGCCGGTTTGGCTTTAACTTATAACTCGAGTAAAGACGAAACACTTTCATATTTACGTATTTTTATCAATTATGATCATTGAACGGGAGTTGGTTTGTTCCCCTTGAAAAGTCAACTAATTTCCGATCAATGACAATAATTACATGTTTTTAATTTTTACTTTTATTTTTATTTTACTTTTACACTTGTAATATTATTCTTCGTGATGATTTAACTCCCAGTCCCCGTTAAAACATTATTAACATTTTGCTTTCAAATTACTTCAAAACATCTTTCAAAATATAACTTACCAGTATGGATGCACACTTTTAAAATAATTCTACTTTAATTAAACTTAGGAGATAATATAATCAATTAATCAATACTGTTTAGGAAATAAATTATATATATATATATATATATATATCCTATTAAAATTTCTGATCATAATTTTATTGCTAATACTTAAAATGACTAATACTTTTTCAGAAAAAAAAAGGTTATTTAATTGATCTGCTGATGTCAAAATTATATTTAATTATCAAAAGTTGTGAATAGATGGTTGCCAGTGTATTAACGGGTGTTTGCTAAAAACTAAAACAGTGACAAATGCATACTTGAAAGAAAAACTATATGTTGTAGTTTTAATTAAACACATTTATTTTGTTTATTTTATTTTTGAAAACTTAAATTGTCCAATCAGTCTTGTAACATAAAATTTTATTTACTACTATACAGTATATGTGTGCTTCTTCTTCTTTTTTTTTATATTAAGTCAGCTAAAAGTATTAATGAATTATTAGTTATATTATTATACTTCATTATTAATACAATGAAGTATTTCATTTATTTATATTTTAGTGGCATCTACTGGTGAATACATAATGTTGGGTTGTGATTTGAATGAAACCAAAAGTCTGCAAGAAAGTTTTGATCTTTTAGAAATAAATTACTCTGTACCAACATTGTTTCTGTCAGAATGTGCCATCACATATATGGGTGTTAAAAGGTACTAGTTTCATTAGTGACTGAACTTATAATTCATTTGAAACATATTTAATTATATCTAGACCTTAAATTTTCTTGTAAATGTAGCTGTAAAAATAAAATCTGTAGGAAAAGTTTTATTGAGTTGTTTGATAATTTATGACTAGTATATTCTTATATTTTCATAAAAAGCTTTTGTATATAATTGGCACAAAGTTTTTATCCATTTCGTTGTAGGTATAGAAAATGTTAGTATTATATAGTTAGTATTATATAGTTATACATATTAATATTATATAGTTAAATCTGAAAATACAGAAGGTGTTTACACATTTTGTAGAATGAATTCAATAAGGAAATAAGACAAAGGCAAATGTTTTGGAATAAACATTTCTGACAACAGCTTAGTATTTGAAATGAGAAATATTGTCTGCTACTTTTAAATTTATTCTTCTTGCAAAATGTTGCAGGCAAACAATCTGTGGATTAAAGGATATATTTTTGCTCTTTTCAAAGAGAAATATTCCTATTTCATAATTAAAAAATGCTGTGAAATGCATAGTATTAAAGTTTCTAAGTGCAAAATAAGCAACATTATTAATTGGAAGGGGAAAAAATGTCAGTATTACTTCTATTTGGGCAAAAGACTCCAAACGAACATTGAGAAAAGGTACATAGTGTTTCTAATGTGTCCAAAGTTAAATTATTGGAAATAAGCGGAAATCTGTCAATGCTGAAATCAGTTGCAGAAAGTTTTTAAATACATTTGTAGCACTGATTAATAAAATAATAAGCCCAGATTTACTACTTCGAAAACCCTAAAAAACATTATGTGTACCAGATTTGTCAAAACATATGGCTCAGTGCAGAACAATTTATAGAACCCTTTATGAAAACTTTTTAGCATAAGCTAAATGGAAATACATTGTGACCCTTGACGAAGTTTAAAGTTTACCTAATGACTGCAACAAAAAAGGAAATTCTATTTATTATCAAAAACGAAGAGAAAAACTGTACAAATCTGGTTCCATCAGTGCAAAGAAATATTCTGTAAGGAATTTATGATTGTCACAGGATTTTCTTGCAATGGAAAATTTAAAATAAGGAGAGCAGAAAAAAAAATCTTAAAATGAAGTGGACATCCTATAAAAAAAAATTTTTACATCTAATATTTACAGAAGAAATTCCATTTTTTTATTTCAGCGACTTTTAAAGAGTGAAACTTCATCAAGACAAAGCAACAAGTCATACTTCAAAAAGTACAGATGCATTCAATTAAAAAATGAAGGCTGATATAGATGTATATATATATATATATATCTTTTCATCATATTCTTGCTAAGTCCCCTGATGTTTCGCCTGTGGGGTCTTGGGCCATTGGTCTCTTGAAAAGAGCTCTTTTTAATTGCAAATCCACTATGATTGATGGTCTCTGAAAAGTAGTGGTAGAGAAATGGAAATCGTTACCCTTGAAAATTTTATGGAAAGTCTTTCTATTGTGAAAATCGTGATTATAGACTTATAGTCCAGAAAAAAAGGCTATAAGATGGAACATCTAATAAAAAGTACTCTTGACATTTTAATTATTCATTAAACATCTCCAAAATCATTCTAAAAATGTGTAAACACCCACTGTAATATCTACTGTCTTACGAATTATTTTAGTACAAATTATTTTATTTTTTGTATATGTATTTTTGAGTGTTATAATAATGAATTTATAAAACTCACTAAATATGTGTTTTATGTAATATAAATAAAATGTGTAAAATATGTAATATAGACTAGCTAAATGTTACTCTTAGTTATTACCTATACCATTAGAGTTAAGTACATGCTTCACCAGACAGTGTACACCATGAAAATTTGCAATAGAGATGAAAAATATTTCAATAAACTGTCAGCTTAGCTCTTATATAAACATAATAGTTTAGATTCTCACATGCATTAGTTGCACATAAAATATACATGGATTGTAACAAATCTTATACCCTTTAATGAACCTTCTTATAATCTGGCACAGCCCTTGTTTGTCATAAAATCTTGTCGATTAGGTGGATGGGGCTGCGCCCTATTTGTACCCTTTAATGAATTCTGGATACAGTCTGATTCAACAGATACATTAGATGCATTCTAGATTATTTCCCGTGCTGAAACTCTACATATTCCTCATTTTGTCCCATGATTTAGCAGCAAAAGTTCTGATTGCTAGTCTTTTTCTAGGTAAAGTACAGATTGTTTATATAGTCCCAGACCCATTTTGATGTTTAATAACTCATAAAATAATAAAGATCGCTTAAAATTAATAACATTAAATGGTTAGATAGACTAAAAAGGTTTCATGACCCATGTCAATGAACTTCCACGTGTGTTCCCTTCGTCGCACGGAGAATATCAAGTCGATATTCAATTTCACGCCAGGTACCGGCAAGCATGTCGGCATCCACAGAGGCTATTGTGGTTATAATTCTGGCTTTTAGGTCATCAATGTTTGATGCTCTCCTCCTGTAAACATTGCCCGTTACAAATCCCCAAAGGAAAAAGTCCATAACATTGCAATAGTTGCCAAAAACAAAAGAGAGAAAAATACAATTAATAAGCAGACGATATTTAGATGTACAGATATTTAGACTGGAAAATGAAATTATCTGAAATTAACCACATGCGCAGACGATATTTACAAAAGTAAAGATATTCAAACCTGAAAAGGAAAATAGTATATGTGTTATTCCATCAATAAATGTCATAAGTTTGTTCATATCTTCATTATTTTATGAGTTATTAAACATCAAAATGCGTCCGGGACTTTATAAACACCCTGTAATTTTATGTACATAATATATAATAATGAATATATTATAATGAATATATTATACATAAGTTAGATAAATGGAATTATTTGTCTTTTTTATTACTTTGAAGATTGGTGCATGTAGCATGTTTTGAAATTGTTTTGAAGTTATAATTACATGATATAATTTTAAAAATTAAGTTACCAATTGCTGAAAATTGTGTTATGCCTAACAGATATATGTTTAATATTATTATTATAGTAATGGCCATGAAAGTAGGCAGAGATCCCACCAAATATTCTAATGGAAGTTTGAAGGAACATATCACTTTATTAAGTTACATAATTACAAATTTCTTGTTTTTTAATCAAATAATCAAAAACTATTGTAGCACATAAGTCAATATATACTATAAGACATTAAAAATACAACACCAAGAAGGAGTGGCTCGAAGATTATGCAAATTTCAGCATAGACGCACATAACCGAGTTATGCAAATGATGTGAAATGTGCAACTTTCCAGCGCATGTTGAAAAAGATATAAGGTAAGGAGCCTGCAAAATGTTCAATTTTTGTTCCATTATTTCTGCTAAGGAAAGTATCAAAGAAAATTTGTTCTTGTGGAATAACCAATAATGCCAAGCTATTGTCAACGGAGGCAGTTCCAGCATACAGATGATTTTATAAGGGGCATGGTGATTGGGCTGAGAAAAGGCCAGTTGGTCCATACAGCAAATCTCAGCTGACACACACCTGGATGAGTCCACAGTGCACTGGATGTGATGACGATGGTTGGAACAAGGAAATATGGCAAGTTCAAGGAATGCTTGTGCAGCCAGAGTGATGTCAGCACACGTGGATCGACACATCCACCAACAAACAGTGGCACACCTGCAGGCTGCTTCTACCTCCATTCTACAGCATGTTCAAGACACCCTGGATGTTTCCATGTTGCCACAATCATTTGCCATTGGTTGGTAGCCTGCACTTGTGGCATCCATTAAGAAGGCTGCCATTGATGCCAATGTCATCATAACGCCCACATCATATATGCCAACATTTGCAATGGTGCCAGGCTCGAGCGATGTGGACAACAGAATGGCACAGGATCATGTTCTCAGAAGGAGTCATACTTCTAATGCGAGTGTCATGTAAAAAGCTAGCATTATTATCAGTTTATGTTAATTATTATATTACATCTTTGTATATTTTAAAGAAACAGAAATGTTTCTTTAAAATAATTTGTTCTGATGGAAAAAATTTAATTTGCAGCTAAAAGGTATACAGTTACAGGTATTACATATTCATAAAGGAAGTGTGAATATGTAACTTGTTTATATTGATACTGTCAAGTGTGGATTAAATTCTCATAGTTAATTTAACATACCGGTTTTAGGAAATGTAAATAACTTTCTTCTTTGAAAATGTTTAATGTTTGTTATGAATTTCAGTTTTAAAAGCTTTTTATAATTACATAACATGTATTTGGATGCATATATTTCTTTAGAAAGAAAAAAATATTTTTTTTAGTTCGAACAGTCTTGTCCAGTGGATTCAGTCCCAATTTCCAAATTCTGCTCTTGTGACATATGAACAGGTAATATTTTCAATGATTATTAAAAAGATGATTCATTTAACCTGTTTGTGTTTAGAAATATGCTCTTATTTTCAAGCAGAAAAATGAGGTCATTCCAATATTCCGGTTGTTTAAAACATATTCCATTAATCTTTCATCATTCACATTGCATCAGTTTTATGATTTAATTATTTAAAAATAAAAGTGAAAATATCATTTTGAGAAATATCCTTTCGGTCATAAAACAGTAATTATTTCTTTTGTGAGGAAAATAAAATCTGTATGAGTGAATAATTTTGATGTGGTATTTTACAGATTTATAAAATCAGCTGTGCATTATCTGAAGTTCTGAGTTTAATTTACTCTAAATTTGTTTCTTGGGAAATTTTTTGACAGATCTATGGTCAACATTTGAATATTTTAACAAAATATGTTTAAATTAAAGCAATTTTCTTAGACCCTAATGAATTTTTTTGTTTTAATTTCAAAAATAAAAAATTATCTTTAGAAATAAAAGGGGGGTGGTTCATTTTAAGAAGCTTTCCAAATTACCAAAGTAAAATTAATGGAAAAATTGCTATGTATGTATTTCATTTTCAACAGTATTGAAATATTAAGTAACTTAATGTGTCTTAGTAAAAGAGGCTGTAATTTTTTAAACTTTTAAATTGCATTTTAAATAAATATATTTTGCAAATAAAATGTAATGGTTTAATATATAATATTACAAATGATAGATGATTTTATTTTCCATTTTTGTGAAATCTTGCAGAATCTTTTTTATGTTAATTTCTATGTAATTTATCTTGATGTTTTTTATAGATTCATCCAGATGATGCTTTTGGCATTGTAATGTAAGTTTATTTTCATCATTTTTACTTTTTTTATAACCATCTTATAGATGTTAATATGTACTAGTTTCACTGGATTATAGAATAATTGCTTTATTTCAATGATTTTCCCTTATTCAGAGTGTTATAATATATCAATAGAAAGACATTACATAAATCAAAAGAAATTAATTAAACATATGTGTATGAAAGATTCTCTGCATACTAGATTTCTGATGTTAAATAATAAATTTTTTGAGAACGTTTTGGCATCTTAAATGAAGATAATCTTAAATTCCTTTTATTAATTCAGAGCAGTATTTTTTAATATTTGACGGAAGAGAAATGCTATGATGATTGTAAGTTAAAAATGTCTTATACATAAAGTAAATTATTTCAGAAGCTGAGCATAGAAATATTTATTTCCATATGAAATTTATCTTAATTTTTAGTTTAAAATGAAATTTTGTTTGAGGATTCCAATCATTATCTTATCCATGTCTTTTGTTTTCTAAATGAAGCTGCTAGCACTTTGGCTTCATGTTCTTTTTCCTCTCTGGTAGTGTGATTTTTGAGCCATGGTTTTCTATGCAGCAATTTATTTATTTTTATTTTATTTATTTATTTATTTTTGATAAAACTGTAAATCTTGATATATGAATTTCCTTTCCTGCAGAAAAATTCATGACAACTTTAACTGTTCCAATTTTTTACTTAATATTCATTGTTAAAATTTTATTGTAAAAATAGGCTGATCACATACTTCCTTACTTTATAACTGTGTCCGATTGCTTTATTATGAATCTCAGTTTTATCTTTACTTTAAGTGTCTTATGAACATTTTAAAACATATTCAAATGCTCTCAATTATAAACTTTAAGTTTGTAAACATTGCTAATGATTTTTGTAGAGTGATGAGCTGACTGATATTAACAAAAAAGGGAATAAGTAGATGATGCCAATATCTGTAGATCTTAGAATGCGTTATGTGTTCTCAATCTGTTAGCATTATTTAATCTCACTTGCTGTGTATATGCACTAGGAAAACTGTTTAAGCTTTGTTTTATGATCTCAAATTGAAAATATGTAACGAGTGGACTTTCAGTAATGGTCTTTAGAGAAAACAGGTAATTTTGTAATGATAAAATGAAAGTAGTTTGCGGGCTGTGTTATGCTGGTCCCCTGCCCCATTAGATTAAGTGTTTCCACTGTTCATGAGAACTGAAAAGTAAAAAAATATTTGCATAACATAACTTTGTATGAAAAACATAAAGGCCATGAACATGAAGGTATGATTCCCTTATACATCAGTTTAAAAATATTTTTGATTTCTGTCAAGTTCAATATTTGTAATCAAATTATGGTTATTCTATTTGTATAATTTATTAAATCAGTAAAACTTTTTTAATATTAAAAATCAGAAATATATTTATAACTTTCTTCAATGAAATTACTTTTCACAGGCAAAATCATTTCATCAAACTTGGTTGTCCATTAAAGTCTGTTTTATCATACCCGAACAAAGAGCAACAATGTTTGAGGTACTTTAACATGGTATGACATTTTACAAATACTTTTTAAGCTTTTAATGGAATATTTCTAATTATTTAAATTACCATAAGAAATGTGTCGTTTGAAATAAGGAAGATTTATTGATATCAAGATTTAGTTTGGGACATAGATCTGTAATTTTTCTAACAGTTTTAATAAAGTTAACAAAGGAAATAAATATGCTTTATGATAATGAATATAATCTGTTTCAGGTGTTATTTGAAGAACTTGAGTGTTTGCTTAAATACATATAACTGTTAATAGTGACTGGTTACTAATATGATGTGAAAATTTTGAATGTATAAGCACAAATTTATCTCTTTAAAATATAGATTTTTGAATTAGAAGATTTAAAACTGAAATAATCTTCAAATTTTAGTACTACTTAAGTATAAATTTTTAGAAATTATATATATATATACAGTCAAAAGTATTTTAATCCAGATTTGTCGATTCCGGATTATCGGTTTTTCCGGATTTTAGATCATCAATTTAAATCTGGTAAGATGGCATGCAGAAATTATAAAATTAAAAATATGAAACCATAATTTATGAGTTAATGAGCAATTATGATCTAAAGGGTATCAAAATTTACAAAAAAAAAAAAAAAAAAAAAAAAAAAAAAAAAAAAAAGCTTAATATTTATTTGTTTACTTTTTTCAACGCGTGCATGCGTAAAGCATACTTTACGCATAGTCGAAATTAGATAATTGCAACCAAAAAACTATTTGATGTGTATTCATGATATTTATAATGACAAGGAATTTGATTTAAATCATATCAAAGTAGGAGTACATCGAGATGAAATACTACATTTAGTAAGGAATTATAAGCCGAATAAAATAAAAACATCTGCCCTGAAGATAAGGATAGTGCTGACAGATCAACTTCCAGTTCATTGCGCGCAGCGATGCCCCCCCCCTCCGCAGAGCAGCGTGAAATTGATAAACAGATTTTGGAATGGTTAGAGAAACAAAGGATATGCCTTTATCCATTTTTTTCAGCAATTCCACTTTTTGTTTGATAGACATCAAAACATGCTTTCGCTTTGTAGATCCTTTGGCAGCTCCAGAATCGTAAATTCTTTTTGACATAATCGAAAGTTCAAGCTTACTTTTATAAAATTGCTCTAACAGTCTGCAAAAAAATAAGCCGGATCCAATTAGAAGATAAGGGACAATGCAATCTGCAACATTAACTGAAATAGATAATTAGATAATTTTAGCTTAGCTTATACTATCCATTATACATTAAATGCGCATGTGTAAACTTATTAGGCACATGCGTAAACGCATATGCGCATGCGTAAAGATATTATGTGTTTACACATGCGCAGAAAGTTTGTCGCTTTGAGGTCCGGATTATAGATCATTCCGGATTATGGATGTCCGGATTAAGGACTTTTGACTGTATAGTATATTTTTAAATGTTTATTTAACAAATGAATCATCATTCATAATGAATTAAAAACAAAATACATGTTTAAATGTCTTGAAGATTATTTTAGATATGTAACTATTCATTTATTTATGAAATAATATTGAATTAAAAATTATAAAAGGTATAATCTTTTTATGTTCATTATTTTGATTTTTTTTATGCAAAGATTAGCAGTTGACATTTTTATGAAGCAAAGTGTTCGTATCAAAAGATGCTATTTAGTTTTATTTTCAGATCCTTTAATAAAGAGGTCAAAATTTTCTTTAACATATTTATTAACATAATTTAGACCTTAATGTAATAGTGCTAACAACAAAAATTCCCCCCCCCCCAAGTCAAATAGATCCTATTTTTACTTGACTCAAGCAACTTCACTGTTACCATCACCTTTATATTAGAAAACGTGGAAAAAGGTCTATGCTTAATTCTTGGTGGACAACTAACTAAAAATACTATCTCATTATATGTGGGCTTCTATATTAAAGGCTGTTTGAGCAAAGGCATTTTTGCTGTGCATCTTATTTGCAATGCAGAAATTTATATCTTCTTTATTCTAGTTATTTTGTTAATGTAAAATCTACTGCTTAGATGTTGTTGTATTCTTAAGGCTGAGGCCAGAGGCATGTAGAAGTTTTGAAATGAAGATATGTGTTTTTATTTTTTTATATTGCGGAATGCAGTATGATGAAATTCTTAAAATACCCTGCTTTTCTGATAGGATTCTTTTGCAAAAGAATTTATTGTGCAATAAAAGTTATAAACTTTATAATAATAACAAAAATTAAACAATAAACATGACTTATTTTAATACCTACATAATAAATTTTGAAGTGCAGTTGATTCTAAGTATCTGCATTTAAATCAATATCATTCTTAGAAATATAATAAAATAAGATCTGAATTTAGATTATATTAAATTATTCTACAGACCTCTGCGATTATAGATATAAATTATTCACTCGAATCAGCTGTTAGTTCAATAATTTGTATTTATCACATGTGCTGTTTGTGGTTGGGAATTTAAAATGCATTTTTAGAAATAATCATAAAATGTTGCAACTAAATATATGTCCTCATTCATATTCAGTCTCATGTTTTTTCGTGTTAAAAATTTGAATGTGTACTTTTTGAAAATAACTCTGTAGTTTTAAAGAAATGAAATGAATTTTGTAGATGAAAAACAGCTATTTAAAATTTTTAATCCAAATGCTGAGTTTTATAATGCGGCAAATAAAATGATTTTTTTTAAATAAAGGAGAAAAAGATTGAACAAAAGGAGGGGGGGGGAGCTAGTACTTAAAAATTTATTGATATTATCCTGTAATTCATATAAACTGAAATATAATATATACTTGAAAATATACTTTTTCTTTCCAGGGATGGTCAAAATGTGTTGCAACTGACATGTTCAGTTTTTTCATGAATTTTCCAATTGAAGAAAAAGAAAGAATCAAAACACTTGAAGTTTTTGATGAATATGAAATGTGGCATGAGAAATGCCATCATTATGTAATGATTTGGGCTTGTCAAGGAACAGTGCCTGTGCCGCTTATATTTCAACCAAAAATTCTAGGTAGAAATTTAAATTAACCTTATTTATGCATATTTTAAAAATGAATATACTTTTCATTATACTAGACAGATACTGGCTGTGTGCTTTGCCAATATTTAAATACCGTATTTGACGGCATATAAGACACACCCTTATTTAGACGGCCACACACAAGGAAAAAAAGTTCAATAGCGTGGTTTCTTTTAGTTCTCATGTTTCGTAAAAGCCAAATAAACAATTATTGAATGCAATTACCTTCACATATAAGACTGTGTCCTTCACGTATAAGACGCAGGTAACTTTTTTTGAGACCAAATTTAGGAAAAAAAGTGCATCTTATATACCATCAAATATGGTAATCCTTGTTACAACTAAAAGATCTCCTGGACATATGAAATTTCTGTTACATATTACAGTAAAAGCCCAATTATCTGGCATTCAGCTAACTAGAAAGCTCAAGTAACCAGAATATTTTAGAATTTCAGAAAAAAAAATTTCTTTTCAAGTTTGTAATACAATAAAATTACAAGCTTGGGGGGGATGAAATTCATTACCACCGTGTTTTCGTTATCATGTTTCGTTTTGTTATCATATTCATCATGGTTTTATTATCACCAGACAGTGTAATTTATCACTTACAATGGATAAGCATGATGTCCCAGCTTAATTATAAAAAGTTCATTTTGGTTTAAATGTAAACTCAATTAATTCTCGATAAGCTGGTTTAACTTTTGTAAAGAAATAAGTTCTATCTTTTCCTTGCATTTTAAGAAAATTATTAATATTTGGGACTGAATGAAGTGGAGTATTTTCACATTTACAGTGTCCAGGCATAAAAAAAAAAAAAAGCTATGATATATGACTTATATAAAGGATAATGGCTAAACAATGGCAATGTAACATGAAAAGTTGTGATAAGGCGTTTATGTTTTTTATATGGTATGTCTGTAATTTGTATCTCATTATTATCTAACTAAATAGTTCTGTTCATTTAATCTTCTGCTGGAATGACTGGTGATATCTTTGCCAACTTTCATGTGCGGCAGGATTTCGTAACAATAAAAATACATCAACTTTTATGACTGAATTCCCAACCCCTCCCCCCACAAACTCATATAATTGTAAATGCAAGCTTTTGATATTCCATTTGGTAATAAATGACTATTTTTATAATTTTAGAGCAGAAATTTTCTCCGCTGATTTGGCTTTTTTAATGGGAATTCTGTTTTTTAGACTCATCTGAAATTTTCATGTATCCAGAATATGGCATTTCTCAAGTTTTACAGATAATTAAGCTTTTACTGTAATAGTGTAATTGAGCTGATTGAAGTGATCCCAGATGACACATTCTTGAAAATTAAATTTTGCCATGGTATAACTGATATGAACATCATTATTAAACTAACTATTAAGTTAACGTAGTTATTCTTCTGGTTTGGTATAGTTTTTATATTTTTTCTTTAAAAGTTGAGAGAAAAAATAATATTCCATGCAGATCTTATTGATTTCAGTGGAAATGCATAGTTATTGAATTTGAATTAGTTAATAATATTAGTTTTCCCGTAATATAAATTTTGAATTTACATGTGCTGAATTTCTGATTTTGGGTAGGTAAATGATACATGTATACAATTTTGAGTAATTTTCGTCCATATGAAATGCTGAAGCTCATGGAAATATGAGGCCCTCGAGAACTCTTTTTTTTTTTTTTTTTTTTTTTTTTTTTTTTTCTTGCAGGCCGGATTTTTGTTGAAACAAGATGGCTGCATATTTGTTTTCAGAGACTTTTTTCGTGTATAAGCTAAATTTGAACCAGTGCCTTTTAGAAAATCTCTACAATGGGGTCTCTTGGCAAGCCTCTCATATTTTATGATAATAGATAGGTTATCTACCTAAAATATTCAACCATAAATTCAGTGGTTATTTCCTTAGATTCATTCTTGATGTTGTATCTTTGATTTCCCCCCTTTTTTTGGTGTATGTTTGTGTCATTACCATTTCATATTTTTTAGATTTTAAAATGCATTTGCCTTTTGTACTGAATAATTTTTTTAATAGTTTCTGAAATATTATGAGTGACTGAAAAGAAATAAAATATGACAAAGAAATTATTTTGTCTGAAAACAGTTCCAGAATTAATATTAAAAGGCAATCATGAATTTTTCAAACTATGTTAGCAAAAGTATAGGTAAGAGTTTCAGTAAATTAATTTCATTCTGAAGTAAATATTAGATTAGTAATGTAGGGTTAGGTTCACTATACACTTTTTTATATATTACTGTGTGGGGAAAAAAAGTCTAAAGCTTTTTATGTGTTTGCTATAGTCTGTGCCGTTGAACTGTGGAGCAGGGGTTCTCAACTGGTGGTACGTAAGAGAAAAATAAATGGTTTGCAAAGAAGCAAAGTATTTTTTACTATTAAATTCAAAAATTAAAACCCCAACATCCTGATTGAGTTTTTTCTCTAACACTCATAAATTTTTGCAGTCTGAGCTTTGTTCAAGAGTGGTCGTGGTGGTAGTACTTTGTAGTGGTGGTACTAAAGGTTTTCAATTTTTGTTTAGATGGTATGCGTTAGTCAAAAGGTTGAGAACTGTTCCTCTGGACAAATCTTTTGCCATTTTTATAAGATTATAAAGATAGTGTTATTTTTTAAAACTTAAAAGGATTTATATGTTAAGATTGTTATTTAGCTTATCAAGATGACTTTTATTCCCACTCTAATTCAAATAACCTTTTCTTTGATTTTTATGATATGTTTTCATTTAGCTAACACCTGTTTTAACACAAGTGATACTAAAGTAAAGAAATTAAAATGGAAGTTGAAACAAGCTGATGTGTTGCTTCATAGGTAAATGATACATGTATTTATATATATGTGTATATATATATCTTCTGCAGCAGTATTTTCATTTAACACATTTTCTTTTTAAATTTATAAATTCAGATTTTATGTATACACAGAAAGTTTTAAACAAAGTAAAGTTATATATATATATATATATGTATAAATATGTTGGATTTTTTCATAAATGAGTAAAATGGGTAAATTTGATAAAATTTGTAGTGAAGTATTTTTTAGCTTCTTATAAATCTAGGGTAATGATTTTTAAACTTTTTTTAAATACTTTTCTTCACTTTTTTAAAAATTGGAGATATCAATATCTATGAAAAAGTTAATGGTACAAGAGTGAGAAATAGATCCTTTGAAAAATTCCAAGATTTAAAAATGGATGTTAAAAAATGGTTACATTTGATTTTGAAGTATTTACATTTTGCGTGCATTAAATATTTTTTGCTGTTTGCGTCACTTTGTGATTCTTTTTCTTATAGAATTTTGAAGTAAAACCTATTTGAATTCTGATTGTTTTATCAACAGATAACTTCTTTATGTTATATTTAATATCACTTAATGTGCTTTTATTTTATAATGCATTAATGGGTTAATTTTATCGAGCCTAAAGTGTTGATGAACTTTTACATTAAAAATATTATTATGACTTAGTGAATAAAATTAAATAAAGTCTTAATAAAGTAAAATAAAACCTTATTAAACATTAATTGTTTTCAGCTTTCAAATTATGGCTATCTAAAATGTAGATAGATAATAGAATAAAACAAACTACAGGAAGGCTTTCTGCTTTTGAAAAAGTTTTATAAAATGCTTACTGAAAAAAATAGATTTCTAAGTGCAGGTTATATTGTCTTAAAAGGACCAGTAATTTTACATGTTTCGTTATCATTTCCATAGTTCGAGGATTGATTGAGAAGTTTTGAGACTGTCTGTATTTAATTTTCTTGATATTAGAGGTGGTAATGCTGTCCTGGTTTTTGTGAAAGTTGTACTTCAGTATGGTAGAACCAGTATTTGGACAGCTATGACTTTCAGTATTTGGCCATAGCAAGTAGAAGTACTTAGTGTGTTTTGGGACAGCTGCTGAAGTAGATGTTTCTATGACTATGCACCAGAGTGCAGGTTCAGTGCTTGAGTTCGTGCAACTGATGTGGGTCTACCATATGGCAAATTGATTAGAACTTAGGGAGCTACTGGGTAACAGACTGTAGGAGATACAGAACTATATTAGTTGATTTAAAAAATCTAGTGCTAGCTCTGTAGAGATGTGAGTGAAGTTTATGTTAAACTTGGAAGAGTTATAATGAAACATAATAGTATATATATATGTATATAGTGATAAACCAGTTAGCAAATGCTTCAGTATGGCAGAAGTGTTCCAGGATAGTGTCACATGAGTGATCGACAAAGCTTATTTTGGCAGGTTATCTGCCACAATTAAATTTGCCAGTATTGCACACTTATGGTAGACAAACAGTGACTATTACACAAACATTTAATGTACAGCTATGAGGAAGAAAAGACCAGATTTTCTCAAGAAATAGTGATTTTGTGTCTAATTGCATGTAGCTGCTCTGGAACTGACAGTACTATCTAGAATTTATTAGGCAGATGCCCCGCCTAGACTTTGTCACATGGTGATCTCTGGATGTTCTAAATTCTGCAGATGTTCAGAACTTTGCAAACATCTTTAGAAGAAACATGGGAGGAGGTTCTATTCTGATGAGGAGTTGCAAAACATTATATCTGACCTGCTATAAAGGATATTTCAAAACAGTCTATTTAATTTTTGAATCATTTAAAAAACATTTTTGTGAAAAGTTTATTCAGTATGGAGGACTCAATTTTAAAAAGAAGGAAATACAAGACCCATAGAATCATCTGATTCTGAATTAGGGAATCAGTAAAAATTTTCAGCCAGTCTATATAAATATTAGTCTATGTTTGATTTTTAGAATGTATGTTTAAAATTTGTATGCTTTATTACATCTTTTATAAAAAAAATTATAAAGTATTTTGATAAAATATTTTCAGTTGCTAAATAATTAATAGAAAATGTACATTTTATGTTCTTAATTACTTTTCTGCAGCGTAATCAGTTTCCTATCATGGTTTAGTTTGCCAGTTTGAGAAATGTTTTTATTTTCAGTCATAAACATAATTAAAAATAGCCAAATCTTGCAAATCATTCTGCATTACTTCCTTGAACTAACTGAGAATTGTAGTATAAAGTATTAAGCAAGGTAAAGATGTAAAACTCTTTATTGGTGAGATTTACCTTTAAGAATTCTGTTGTTGTTAGGGAAAAGTTTTAATTTATTTATTCTAATAACCCCAAAACTGAAGTTTCTTTAATATTATAAAATGAATATACTTTTACAATATTACATTATCAAAGTATATTTACTATGGTTATTTTGCTGTAATAATATTTTATGAAATCATTATTATTCATTTGGTTTATGCTTTTTCTATAAATCTTATGTTAAACAACTTATAAATAAGAATTTTTTATCTTATATTTCTAATAGAGAATGCTTTGTAACACTAAATTTTGTACTAGACAATATAAATTATTTATATGTATGTTTTTAGATTTGGTCATCAGATTGTCCTGCTATCTCCCAGTTATTTATTAATATCAGGTGGCTTTGGAGAACATGAAAAGAAACATGAAAGATTAAGTGGAATAATAGTATATGATCTCATTTCTGAAAAGTGTTCATCAGTGTCTTTATTGGATGATCAAAATCTGCTTGGTATGCATTGAATGTTTTAGGATATGAAATAATATGATAATTTATTTTTCTTTTTAAGGACATGTTATCTGCATCAAGAGACTCCATTTCTTTCTCTTTGTATTGATATCGCTTTCTTTTTAATGTTAAAAGTAATTGCAGTCTATTAAGGAAAAAAAACTCCTTGATGAAACTTAAAACATAATGATAAAATATAAAATTAGTAAATTCAACGTCATCATGTATGGAAAATATAAAATTTATGAACTAAATAAGGAAATATTTAAGAGAACTTTTTCAGCATAACATTTTAAAATACAAACAATATGTAAAATTTAATGTAAACGAATAAGAAATTTTTATTTTCTGAGCTTGTTTGGTAAGTTCCTGTAGCTTTCATGATGAATCGTTACTTCACAAACAATTTAAAGATTATTTATTCTTGATTGATTAGTTGATTTAATTCTCAGCAATGAGTAGCACATATTTATATGAATTAACCTTTTCATTTTAGGTCTACTGCAGTACCATGCCTTCTAAACATCCTCATTAATTTTTAAAAAGAAGTGCCATTTTAGGTATATAAATTCAAAATAACAGTCTATATAATCATTACATTCTCTATTTTTGGAACTTTATAAAATGAAAATGAATAGAAATTTTCAAAACTTTAATGATTTAGAACAATGGCATTGTTCTATACACATTTTGTTACATAAGTGAAATTGCCCAAGCTCTACTAATTTCAGAGTATTGATGATAAAAATGACATTAAAAATGTTTGGTTGGCTCTTATTTTGGTGTAACAGAATAGGAGGTGGGTGTTTACGTATCAAAATGTGATTAGGTAAGGAAAATATTGTTGGGCCTCTGGTAATGTCATTGTAACATTGCAGTATTTGTGGAAATATGCACAAATTAACCATTAAGATTAAAAAGGTCAGTCATCACTGCTTAATGTGATCATATTTTTCCATGACTATTTTGATAATATTAACCAATTGATAGCATTAAGTGATCGAAAATATTACTCTTCAAAATGATATTAGAGTTTAAATAATTTACTTCCAATATGAGGGGAAACATATACTTACTTTCAGAGCATTTTTAATTAGGAAAAGAGTCATTAATTGTTGATTGTTTGTAAAAGGGGTTTTATAGGTTAATAGGTTGACTTTATCTCACAGATCATTATGCCTTTCTCTAGACTTAATGATAAAATTTATTCAACAGCATAAAATAATAAAATTTTCTGAACAGAAATATTTTGGAGTGAAGAGCGAGATGATCTAGAATTCTACATTATACAGTTTAGTTAAGTCAGTCTTTGTTCAATTATGTAAGATTACCCTCAATAAAAACGTAGTAGAGCATGACTTAAACATAACTAACTATTTTATTTTACTAATATGAAATAAAATGAATGAAAAGATAAATTAAGTGAAAGTTAATAGTTCAGCTGGTAGGTAACCTTACAATTAACACAAGTCCAACAGGATTCGATTCATGTAACACATTTCACACACATTATCAGTCTCTAACAGTTCTACAGGCATGTCTGCCCTCATATGGCTAGCTCAATGTAAGCATTTCAGCTTGGCATCAGGGAACTTGAGATGTTAAAGAAACACGTCTTATTCTAACAACTCTTAGTGGATACACAAGCCATCTGCTTGCTTTCTGCATCTCGAAGCTATCTGCCCCTGTGCGTGGAATACGTCTTGTTCTCAGCACTTCCAGCGGTCATTTCAATTGCTCTGCATAGTGCTAAGCTGCGATGATGTCACACCTTGCTGGGTAGAAGTTGAAGTAGAAGGAAACGAAGAATATGCCCCCACATTTATATATGTTTGCCTTCAATGAAACTGCTTGCTTTCTTAATCTCTTACTTGGTGATAGGTTCCCAAGTCCCTTAGTTGGTGAAATAATTTGCCGATTTTTGTACTCTGTTTCGACATTATTTGGCAATTTTATCACTTATTTGGTGACTTTACTTGAGATTAAAAACATTTATTCTGTAATATTTTAATAACATTAATCAACTTGTTCACCATAATAAGTGATGTGTTTTTTATGTTTTTATATATAAATGGGTGTGACTTTGGCTATTTGATAACAACATCTGAATGACAACGTTAACCACAATCATGTTAAGTAGCATCTACTGTAATTTTAATTGGAGCATAAAATGCAACCCTGCTCCCCCCATTATTAAAAAGTGTCTTTCTTTAAATTGATACAAGTCAGCAAATTATATCTCCTAACAGCATATTCAAAAATCAGGAAAATATATCATTTATGCATAGATGGCCAAATGTGATCTCTAATGTTACTGTAAAAAATAAATAAGTATTATAGTTATAAATAATTGGCAAAAGTCTACTTTAACATGAGGATTGCTTTAAATGAAAGTTCTTAAACTGATGTATATGGATAGAATAATTTGCTTCACAGTATGTCTCAAACCTTCTCAAAACTAGTGCCAGGTAAAAGTAAAATTTTGTTATCTACTAATATTTAGGTTGGTAGGAATCCACTGCATCAATATTTTTCAAGGATTTAGTTTTTGTTCAGTAAACGACAGTTAAAAATGGTTGACTGTATGTGTTTTAATTCTTTATCTATTAAAATTTTAGGAACCATTGACAAAGTTTGTATTACCTCTCTGAAACCTTACTCAGATGTGTTGTAGTAATATGACTGTGACATTTTAATTCATATTTGGATACGAAAAGCGTAATGGTTTTATTCTTTAGCTTTATTATCTTTCTGAAATTCTGTATGATAGTTACAATGAAATCTGGACTGTGATGAGTAGCTGTAAAAATTTTTATTTTACTTATTTTAAGTGATGTCTTTTTGTAGCTGATTATGAATCAGTATGATTTAAATGAATATGCCATTTTAAGTTTCAAGGCCTGCTTTCTTTGAATTAGATTCAGTACTAGTTTTAATTTTTACTTTGTATGTATTTTTGTATTTGTTACTTTTTTATGTCTACAAATATTTTTTTAACTTCTGATACCAATAAGTATTGTACAAAATTAAAGTAACAAAAATCACTGATCTGGATGTTTTAAATGTTATGTCTGCTTATTTATTTTAATTGGTTGTGAATTTTTATACCTTTTAATTTTAAATGTATATATTTTATTTTCAGGTAAAAGAATGTTTCATACGGTTACAAAGTTGCATAATGGCAATATAGTTATTATAGGAGGTCGATCAGCTCCTTACAAAGCAAAAGGAAATGTAATTGTTCTTAGTAGAAGTATACAGTCTAGGAAAGAGAAAACTATTGACTCCATGGCAAAAACTATTGAACCTATGTCTGAAGCTTTAAACAATGAATTTGTTTTTACTGTTCAGAAATGCATTGCCTTTCCTTTGCCAACATGGAGACACTCTGCTTCTCTTGTTGATGTTGAAGGTTAGATAATAATCATATATATTTTCTTTTTGTTAGCTTATGATGTTAGATATATATTTAAGAATTTTCAGAAATTAAATTCTGTTGGTATTATTTTTGCACAGAATATGCATATGTATATGTACTGTAGCTTTCTCTAGGCTCCTGGGAAATAAATGATAATATTTTTCTCAAAATTTGAAAATATTTTTACATCAAACATTAAAATCTTTAAGAGAAGGAAAAACGCTTGCCAAAATGTTAAATATATTCTATGCCTCATTTGTTTCTGGAATAATGTGTTGTCAGCATACATTTACTGTCGAATTAGTGAAATTTATTCCATGACTGATTCAATAGTAAGACAATGGTGAATGAATCTAATGAAGATCATGCTAAAGCTCATGATAAACAGTAAAATGGTAGACTATCTTTTATGAATAATAGTCTGAAATATTAGTTTATGGAATGGAGCCATTCTTAATCCCCCAGAAATGAAGAATTTAAGCTAGTGATTTCAATCAAAAAGACCACACATATGATTCTTGGGATCACATGAAATTTTTATTTCCGGACGAAAAGGTAAACTAAACTTAAAAGCTTTGCTGTGAGATTCTAAAAGAACTGCAGTGATCATTCCAAAACAAGGTATGTGTAAAACTGAAGTTGTGCTATACTTAAATTGTAGTATTATGTTATGACAGCACTTCAACAGCCGTAGCCTGCTGCTCACTCTAACTTCCATAAAGTCTTTTGCCTAGAAACAAATAATCATCCTTTCTACAACTCAGATATGGCACCAAGCTATTTTCATATTTCTTCTGCATTTGAAGATGTTCCTCGTCAGATAGTAATTGAATGCCAAAAAAGTAAAATTACAGCCTTAGCTGAATTTAAAAGTGGAAAATTTCTGTGTGAGATTAAAAAATTGGTATTATGTTTCAAAATGTGGCTCAGTAATAATGGGGATTCTGTAAAAAATTAAAGTAACCACATGTCACAGACTCATTTTTCATGCCAGTGTTGTATTTCAAGACGGTATTCTGCTTCAGGATATGTCCTACATTCTGAAATATTTCAAATTTAGTAAATGTAGTTGACATGAATTTTGTTGGGACCACTGCATATAATCATGAAGATGTTTTTATGGTATTATATATATATATATATATATATTTGATAATCACATAATCATATTTTCTAAATATATGTTTTAGAGAACTGTCAAGGTCTACAAAAAGATCAGTAGTTAAAAAAATTTCTGGATTTCTATCTGACTTGCATTTTATATTTTTATTCATGTAGTGGAATTAAATTAATTTGGAGAATTTTAAACAAATCAACTTTTGAAAATATTATAGAATGTAATCACATGAAGAAAATCTTAACTTCAGATAAAATATTTTAATGGCAGTTAATTATATCATAACAAAATATTCAATGAAATATTATATTTGGAAAGATATGTTGTATCTAAAAAATTATGTAGCTTTCTAATATAAATCTGAAATTAAATGAGATTTTCACCATTATTCGAGCAGTCATGCTTTTTTCAAATCTGAAACTTGATAACTGAATTTTACTTATTGTACTTTTGGAACCAGTAGCAACATGACAATTTTAGTAAAAAATGTGAAGAAATATAAAAAATACTAAGGAGTTTTAGTAAAAATTACAAAGAAACTTATCGGGACAACAACCTCGTAAGTAGACATTATTTGTGAGAATGTAAATAAACTTTGGTATTGAATCTAATATTAATGTTTTGACATTAGAATATGTATCCACTCTTCACCAGTAGTCATATTTTCTCTAAGATGATCATATGCTCAATAGACAGAAAAAGCTCCATATCAAATTCTAAAAGTATTGAAATGTCAGTTTTTTAGCCTCTTATTGCTTGCCTTATCCGTGTTTTTATTATCTTCCTCTTCAACACCTTTTGGTGGATGAATGTATCATGAATAATTTCACATGGTTGATTCTGTAATGTCACCAAGACTTTTCCAGTGGCAGCATTGCACCAAGAAATGAAATGTTATAATCTACTTGATCGTTATACTTCTCTAAAATGTTTAAATAAAGTTGCTTTCTATAATGACACTTTAAGCTTCAGGTCATATCTTTGTCTGAAAGTTAGAGTGTCAGAGTAGCATTTGACAGCAAGAAAACAATTTTCATCTGTTTTAAATTTCTTACATTTGTGTGCTTTTTAACAAAAGTTCTTCATCCTACATTTGTAATTTTTCTTCGAGCAGTTTTGACATCATCTGTGTCTTACAGTGAGCTTTACAGGAAGCAGGAATAATTTTCACACTTTTTAAGTAGCTTGACTTTTGAGATTTTCTGCTTGTTAAAAGCCTGCAATATTCATTAGTATTGGTCCCCAGATTTGCAACTTTGAATTTTTAGCAATGCACTTTTTGTCTTCAAAATGGTTTGGTTTGACATCATCTTGTGAAATAGCCTAGTTTCATCAACAATGAAAATATATTTTTTCAAATATTGGTAAGTTACATCATCCCAAACATGCTCTCCCCATTTCTCAAGTTATTTTTGAAATGTGTGATTCTTCCCCAGTTTTGCCTGGAAAAAAAATTTTTTTTTTTTTCCTTCTTAAAATTTTCAAACCAGCCACTTTAACACAGAAAGGCAGTTTTCCCAAAGTAGCCGGCAAATTCATTAGCTTTTATCTGAAGCGTTTAGCCAGATATGGACAAACTGTGGCTTCTTTGAATCATTTCAGCCATGCTTCTTCAACACTTATACTCAGCCTTTTTCAACTTTTACCTCATGTCCAAATTTTTTTACATTTAAAGATTATTGTCTCAGTTTTTCCATATGGTATCAATTTGGATTTGGGTGAATTGTATTCTCCCTGCAGATATCAGTATGGCTACATTGGTTCTTTATTTTTTTACCCTTTTGGCTTTACCTTTAATGCAGAAGGTTTATTTTTACAGCTTGCTATATGATGAATTTTTTATGCAGAAGGTTTTCGCCAGTATAGAGTGCAGAGGATTAAGTCAAAGATCACATGAAATTTTGCCATTCTAGTAAAGACAAAAGCAAAAGGTAATTTAATCACTAATCTATCTTATCCAGTGTCCAATGAGAATGCATTGAATTCTGGCAAAATATATGTGGTTGTAAAGCAAAGATTCAGTATTATTTTTAAAGAATATCTTAACCATCCTAAAGACTAAAGAATGTAAAACCATTCAGGAAACAAGACTTAAAGAGTGTTCATATTCAAACAAAACAGACTTACAGGAAGAAAAAAATTTCCTTAAAAGACAAACCACATGTATAGCCCCAAGGTCATAAGAATCAATTCATTGCTTCCTCTTTCCCTGAATTCTAAAAGTTCCAAAATTTCCATTTTAACATTACCCTTGAACAGAGGTCAGTTCGGCAGATCTAAGAATCAGAAATTCGATTCATGTTCTTTGGGTCAGTGATCACATGTACCATATAGTGTTCTGAGGTATGCTTATTATGTATCCTCACTCTCCAAGAATTGGGTATTATACCTGTCTCACATAGACTTTGTTTAGAACACAAAGAAAAATGCGAAAGAAGTTAAAAAATGGTGAAATAAAGATGTGTTCTTGTATTATCACATGGAGGGATCATAACATCATAAACATGAATGCTTTTTCATGAAAACATGCAATATTCTGGGAAAAAATGTGAATCAAATATACTCATCTTATATCATGAGTAGTAATTTTTTCATGAGAACTAGCAATATTTTGGTTTTGGAGAGAAAAAAAAAGTATGAGTAAAATATACCCGTTATTTTCTTATAGAGCATTCCTATAGCTGCACAGAAGAACACTGTGTGTATATGATATTATTGGAAAGCGCCAAAAATGTTCATTATATCTGGGCATTTGTTAAAAGCCAAGTTAATTGTACTGCAGTTTGACTTCAGTATTAATTGTTTGAAACATGCCTCAGTCAGATTTTTTTTTTTTCCAGTTGCTGAAATGGTCTGGTCTCGCATTGCCTTAAAAAAATCTGGTCATTTTGGTTTAAAGAAAGGACAGTGTAAAAATTTTAATCAAAATAAAAAATTAAAAAACTCATTCCAGTTTTCTGTGTAGTAAACATGAACTTAATCTTTGAAAAAGCTATGTATATAATGTGACGCCAAATTCACACATCCTAGGATTTATCTAATTAATGATTCAGATTAACAATAAATCAAGGAGTATTTATATATTTATTATATATATAATAAATCATTATATAGATATTTTATTAAATATAAAATACATTTTATATTATATATTTATTTATATAAAGGATTATTTTATTTATACATTTAGATATCTATTTAATTATTTTATCTGAATTTAATTCATCCATAGTGTACATTTTTTGTCTCATCTTTTGTGTATACATATATATATATAATGTCCAAACTTATGTTTACATGCATGACATTATGGATTTCTCAAAAACTATGAACTTGACATTTTGTGAATTTGTGAGGACTGATGCATAACATCATAACACATATATACAAAGGAAAAAATTTAAGAGCATTGCATATGACTTGAAATTGTAGCATGGAGCAATGAAAATAGTAACAATCTGTCTCCTAACACATCAGATAAGTTCAGAAAAAAAAGAATACAAAAAAATTAAGGCTTATGAATTTAGCATGGAATGCAATCTTTCCTGACTTGTAACCACATACCATAAAGTGTTTTCATGCTGATGTAATAATGTTTTTAACCTATGTTTAGGGATTTAAGTAACATTACCAGTAATGTGGTCATCAGGGCATTCGTATTTCTAGAAGGAGAATGTCTCTGTGCAACTGCTTTTCCAAAGTAGTGCTATAAATTCTCTATCGGGTTAAGATCAGAAGATTTTGCTGGCCATGGTACTTGCTCAACGTTTTCATTTTCAAGGAATTTATCAATAATATTTGCTTGATTGGAGGAGCATTATCATCCATAAATAGAAAGCCATATCCGGTATTCCCCTCTGAGAAGTCTTACATAAGGCTCTAGGCCCTCATCTTGATACCTCTGACCAGCCATAGTTCAGATGCTGAAAACAAATAGAGACATCCATCCATTGATCATTATATCTAACCATACCATGCCACCTATATTACTTAAACTATCATATTCTGTAATATTAGACGCATTCCTGATTCCATCTAGATTAGGTTTCCTCTAGATTCTATGTGATTCCCTCACAATTAGATTTAGATTTTAAACTGAACCTCATCTCATCAGTAAAGAGAACATTGCATCATTTGTGTTCTCTCCTTGAAATATTCATATATCTCACTGCTTCCATGATTGTCTGCCCTCTTTCTAAGTGGCTGATTATTCACCATTTCAGAGATTCTCCTAATTCATGCTTCAGAGAGGGGGGAAAAAGTCTTAACACACTAAAAGAAAATGCTTTATTGCAGAAATTAATTCAGATATTCACTTGACAGTGATTCAGAAATTCACTGTCAATGACGTACTGCCTTGATTTGCTTATCAGAAACCATTTGATCACTTTTGATTGGATAATGCTAATTAGACTTGTCTTTCATACATTCTGTGTAAAAATGGATTACGTCAATTGGGTAGTTCATGAAATATCATTATCTTTGAATATGTAAAGATAAATCTGGTTATGTATACACATACACACACATATATATATATTTCCTAAACAATATTGATTAATTGATTATATTATCTCCTAAGTTTAATTAAAGTAGAAATATTTTAAAAGAGTGAAGTATCAAACAAAATATAACATACTAGTAAGTTATATTTTGAATAAAAATATAACATACTAGTAAAACTTTCAAAATATAACATACTAGTAAGTTATATTTTGAAAGATGTTTTGAAGTAACTTGAAAGTAAAATGTTAAATCATCATGAAGAACAAAATTTCAATTGTAAAAGGAAAAATTAGATTAAATGCATGTAATTATTGTCATTGATCGGAAATCAGTTGACTTTTCAAGGGGAACAAACCAACTCCCGTTCAATGAACAATAATTAAAAAGTAAATACGTAAATACGAAGGTGTTTCGTCTTTACTTGAGTAATAAGGTCAAGCCAAACCGGCAATTCTAGTCAGGCAAAATATTTCCGCGAATAGAAGGGATTATGAACCAATGCTGATACTCAAAGAACTTATTCCTATGAAGCATTTTAGCCAATTCAATTTTGAGTAAAAAGCAATTTTTGTAGGGAATTCTGAAAAAACTCGAGTAACCGTCCCTCGACACTCCCGTGTTTATGCATTTGAGTTCTATATTATTTGTAAAAATTAAACATTGGAAATTGTCATTATGAAATAGAATTCAAAGTATAAAGTTGAAATAAACATAGAAGATTACAAAATAAGATAATTAATGCAAACTTTGTAAAAACAAATCAAAAATAATATAAAAATAAAAAATATAATAAGAACAGTGAATGTACATGAAGATATAAAGGCCAGAAAAAGTATTAAGTTAACTTACATTCTTTCTAGTGGGGAGTCAGGCAAAGTGTTCTCTTCACGTCTGACTCAGAAGAGTTGTAGGGTGTTCCGAAAAATTCTTTAGCGGCAGCAGGAGCTTTGAATAATATCAGTCGGTAAGACTTGGGTGAAGTAATAAGTAATTTATGGTAGTGGGAGGGACTAGGAATTCTTGAGTGACAATGTATGTTATGTGGAGTTCTTATTTGAGTGAAACTGTCTGTTTAGGATTCTTTTTTTAAATACTAGTGAATGGACGAAGTTAATTAATTTCTGGCTAATTGTCGTGTCGAAACGATTAAGAATTTAAGAAAAGGAAAAAAGGAATTTTCACTGTCTGAAGAGCTATTTGACAGACTAAAGATTATGAAATAGGCCCATCTTTTTAGTAACAGCATAGTAACAGCAAAAGTCTGAAGACAATTAAACTTTTTACGTTATATACAACTTAGTAATTACACTATATACAAATCCTTCAACTGATAGTCATCCAACTTATACCGCCTTCTCAGGTTTAGGAACAAATTATCATATCCCTATCAGTTAAATGATTTAGAGTGAGTATTTAACGCCTGCACTTTTAAGGCAATGGTTAATAAATTGAATAAGTATTAGATTATTTTTGAGAATTTTAATAAGGAGCAAAATTTCACATTGTAAATCTATTGCATCTGTGCAGATAATTTTAATTTGTTGTATTTGATTTATTATTGTATTGTTAATTAATTTTTTGGATATGTTGGAATTCCAATTTATTAATTTGTTAGTATTGAAATTGAAGTTTCTTGTTTTGTCAAAAAGTATAGGAATATTATAAGAAAAATTGTATGCCTTCTAGAAACTATTAAGGGAAAGAAAAATGAAATTTTTTATACTGAATTTTTCATATGGATGTCAGTCTAGATGCCAAAATACAGAAATCCCAAGAATATTAATTTTTATATTTTTAGTTTATTTCCCACAAATGGAGAAGTTTTACTGAAGTATCAGTGGCTCTTTCTGGCAGTTTCATATGAACTTATTAATAATTTTGGAACAATGAATCAAATTGTGAAAGCTGTAAACTTGCATGATACATTTTCTTTCAAGTTAAAATGTGTGTCAGTACTTTCATTTGCTCCATTATTGCTCTTATTTAATATTCGAGCAGTTTACATGTATTTTTTAAAGTTAACCATAAAATAAGAGTTTACAGCCTTAAGTAGAGGGATAGAAACCAGCATTAAAAGTTGATTGAAAATTTTGTAATGTAATAAGAATCTTGTTAATAAAATAACAGAATTTTCTTATTTGGAGAAATGTCTCCAACAAAATAAATATTCCATCTACCAATAATGATTCAAATCAAAGGGTAATTTTTTTAAAGAATTTTCTTATGCATAGTAATAAATTCATATATTGTTATTTCATAGTCCTCTATCATTATTTGCATTTCTTAAATTCGAATCTTGGTTATCCCTGAAAATTCAAATCTTTCTAATTCCAAATATGTTGATTTTTCAACTTCTGTTTCATATAAAGTATGCTTTAAAATTCATAACATAGCAGACCCAAAATTGTATATTTGTGATTGTCAGTCTGTGTTAAAGATAACAGGTTGTATCTCTGCAAGCTTAAATATTGTTCTAAAATGTTTTCTTTTGAAAACCATACAAATTGAATGTAAAAAGGCATCTATATTACTCTTCTAAATGAGAGGAGGTATATTACTCCTCTCATTTTAAATTTATGAAATCTTGTGTTATTTTATTTGTTATAAAAATTATCCCATTGAAAAATATAGTTTATATTTTGTTTATTAATATTTTAATCATATAAACCTTTTTATATCTTTCTAAATTGTGCCTCTTATTATAAAATGCCTTCTTTCTTATGTAATATTAAATAATTAATATTTCATTAGAATTTTGATTTTTTTGTGCCTGTCATGAACTAATATTGTTGATCTTAGGCATAGAGAAAATTGTAGTGTTTGGTGGTTGTACAGCTAACCAGATTTGTACAGAAAGTTGTTATCTTTTAAACACTCACACTTGGAGTTGGATACAAGTGAGTATTACAGTTTAAATTGTTATGAAATATAAAAATAGAAATGAATATTTTGTATTACAACTGTTTATTTTTTAACATACCTTAACTGTTCACTTTTACTTTGAATGAAAGTATTTTTATTCTTAGTAAGCCAAACATCATTCCCCTTTGATATGCAGAATGAATAGAACCATGTCACTCACATCAAGTAATCTAATCAGTCATCTGAGCTGATATGTTTTTATTATATATTATTTATTTAATCCTCCTAATAAAAGCAATTGCAGAGGTCATATAAGACAGTATTTTATAAAATGTTATTTGTTATTTTTATATTGAGAATTTATTCCAATCTTTTTTTTTTTTTATTAAGAAGGTTTCTTTGTAAATATTTAAAATTATAACAGTTGAAGAAAAATGAGTATATTGAGTAAGTTTTAAGTTTAACCCATTTATATTGAGAATTTATTCAAATCTTTTTTTATTAAGAAGGTTCTTGATAAATATTTAAAATTTTAATAGTTGAAGAAAAATGAGGACATTGAGTAAGTTTTAAGTTTAACCTATTTATGTCTATATATTTAAAAAATTATTTTCTCAGTTATATACATAGTTTCCCATCAATGCACTGTGATCCATTAAGTGTTAGATTTCAGTTGAAAAAAGTGCTTTATCACAGCCTTCAGACCATTCCTGAATGTTTCAAATCATAGTTACTGTAAAAAGAATCACACAAACTCTGTTTTAATTTTTGAAGTGAAAAGTCACTTGGAACAAAGTCTGGTGAATTCAATAGATGGGGGAGAAGCTGGGAAGATCTGAGAAAATTCTCATGCAAAAGCAACACTTTTCTGCCGAGAGTACTATAATGTTTTTATTTTCATGGTTTATCAGAGTTAAGATGGTAGATTAATATAATAAGTACTTGTTATCACCTTTCATGTGGTATAAATTATAATCATAATATATAATCAATATATAGTGGTCCATCTTCATCCCAAAAATTATGACTAAAATTTTCTCACCAAGTTACTAGGTGCTTAAATAGTGGGGTCAAGAAGATACATGTTTCCACACCTTATTTCATTTCTGATTCATGTCAGTAAAGTCATGTTTTGTCTCCTGTTTCTGGCTATAAATATTATCTTTATCAATATTTTTTGTGGAGAGTAGTTTTTTAGAACATTCAACCTGATTTTTCATCATTTTTTGTATTAAACTTCCAAGTATTCATCTAATACAGACTTTCAGCATCCCTAGCTTTTCATGCAGAATTTTTTCCAGCTGAATCTAACTGATGCCCATTTTTGCAGAAAAATCTGAAGGACTATCATTTTTCTGTTTTCCATCTTACTTTCCTTGATGCTAGCACACATGTTTTCAGTGGTCTTTTTTTTTATCTACATTGTGATTTAATTTGGGATTATTTTTGAGAGATGCTCTTCCCTGTCTAAATATGGCAGTCTACCATTTGACAATAAAGTCCGAAATCTGGATGTCTAAAATCCAGAGCAGCAGCCAAAAATTAAATAATAAAAATTCCCCTTGGCCTTTACAAAAATCTAGGAATAGAAAATGTAATACTCTACAAAAGGAAGCAGCTGTGCCATAAATGTGATTTTTTCCAGACTAATTAAGATTCCTGTATGTCATTTCTGAACACCTGCTGACTAGGGAGCCACACTTTAGCCAATAATAATGCATTAATTGACACAATACTGATGTTGGCCAGGACCAGTCTTTTGACTGTTGAGTGGTTGTGGGGAATATAGAGCCAGCGCTACACATTTTGCTGCCCAGTAAAATCTTGTGCGTCTTAAATTATACTTAGCACGTCTCTAAATTCTAAAAATTTTACCTTCCATGATTTTTGCTCTTGGTGTTCCTTTAAGTTCTAAAGTTTTGGCTGCCTCTGAATTCTGCCAATAGATGCAGCTGCTCTGGTACTTCTTACCACCATATTGGGGCATTGGGGGTATTCTTCTTTCTGACCTAACGAAAAAGGCCCCAATGTTGGCATGTCAGGCTATCTAGAAAATTTAGTGGTTAGTGACTCTGACTGCCATACTGATAGGCCCAAGTTCGAATCCCGGAGAAAGTATGGATGTTTCTAAACATACAGTATCTGTGTAGCAAGGAGGTGCTCACAATACACGGTGATCCAAAAGTTTCCTCAAGTGGTTGGTGGTAGGGTGAGGTGGGAGACCTTCGGACCACCTTCCAGGTTTTCTCCATGCAAACTGCGGCAGAACTGCACAGTTAGTGCAGTGGAACTATATCTGTACAACCTACAGTGAAATTCTGTTGTCCCATCTACTTGTACCTTTTCCTGTGTGCATGTCATCTTGCTAAATTTAAACTGATGATATAAAATTCCCAAAATCTGGATTCACTGAAGTCCTGGTGATTCCAGATCTCAGACTTTAAACTGTAGCAAGGAAAGGTTCTGTATTACTGCAGATTGCAAATATGCATTTATGAATATTTGTCAATGTTATGCTTTCTTTCATCAAGAAATCAACCACTGAAATATATATTTTCAATATTAATGCACATCAGTGACTAGCAGCATTTAACAACTCTCAAAAATCAAATAATAACACCTACATTTTTGCTTTAATTAATGTACTTAAAAAAAAATACAATCATTTCATCATCTCACAAGCAATTACATCATATTTAGGCTTGTAGTGTATTGAATGCCCCTAATGTATTGTGTTTTTAGCTGATATTTTTTTTTTTTAACTTGAAGAATTTAAGTATTTAATAAAAATTTCATAAATGTTGGCTGTGATGAACTAACACAGCTAACATTTCAGGACATGGAGAAAATGATCGTATAATTTTCATTTTTTTAAAGACTTCTTAAATAACAAAAGCTTTTTAACCCTTACCCTGATTCACCCAAGTTTCCTTGGAATGAGAAAAACCATCACACAGTGATTTACCCGAGTATACTCAATATTCTGAAATGCTTAACATATGATTAGCCCAAGCGCTGGAAGTAAGTACCTCAGGTTTTCACTGCAAAGCATATTTTCCTTTACTCCAGTAAAGCATTTCTTATGAATCAGCACTACAGAAGAAGCAATTACAGGAATTTTTCTACCTCAGGGAGTTCTTTGGAAGAACAAAACTGCCCATCTCTTCAGATGCTTTAGAAGTTATTTGGGGAGGGTTTCCAACTTCACAGAGATGGAGGCATGCAGTGTCAGGCAGAGAAACTAACTATATTTCAAGCAGATGACAAAATTTTTCAGATTAGTTTTACTGTGATTGCTTTGATTGTGAAATTCATTTCATTGAGCTACCATTTAAGGGTTTGAAGGGCTGAAGAAATACCTGTCAGCAGTACAAACAATCCAGTTAAAAAATAATTATGGATATTAAAGAATCGGAGAAGTCCTAAAATAATGAAAATGCTTTAAATTAATCTTTTATTTATTTATTGTTAAAAATAGTTATTCTCTGTTTTTCCAGCTGCATGTTAAAACTTGTGAAACTATAATAGATAAAATACTTTATTATTTTACTATTATATTCAGCACTGTAGCTGTGGGAGGAGAAGAAGAAATAAACATAGTATGGAAAATTTAATCAATATTGGGAGCCTTTATGCTGAGAATTTATTTTATATACTCTAATAACTGAATAAATTATATTTTAACTAATTTTTCACTATTCATTTCTTATTAATATTAATAGTGAAATCTTATTAATATCACAAATATCCTAATTACTTTTTCTTATATTAACTTTTTATTTAATAAAAATGTTATTATATTTAGTTATTTTAAATGTACACATGCAGTTACAGAAAAAATTCTGTGCAAATGTTTGTTTCATGTATACAGTATTATAGTATCTATTGTTTTAGATAAGTTCTCAAGAGCATTCTCCATCTTCAAGGCATTCTCACAGTTCTGTGGTATATGAAAAGAAAACTGTAATTATTACTGGTGGTCTGTCTGCAGATGAAACTATCTTAAATTCTGTACATTCTTTTGATGCTGAAAAGTGTCAGTGGTCTACCTTACAAATTTCGGGGCTGCTTCCAAGGTACAATAAATCCTTAATGGTTTATTCTCATAAGGGTAACTTGTAATTTAATTACATTATATAAAGAATATATTAAATTTTAGAACATGCATTTTGTTAAGAAATCATCAGGATTTATGTATCAAATAATAATATGAATTACTGTAAGTGAGTAAATTCTGCTTAAAAGTTTTAAAATGGTGTTTTTAAATGAATAGAAATTTTTTAGCTGTATGAAAACAAACTGAGTGTTTCACAGAAACAAGGTGGGACACTTAAACTTTATTTCTTATTTATATTCCTGATATACTGATTGCAAAATTTTCGTATTGCACTTGTGTGAAATATCAGTTTGCATGTGACTTTATTGATATTTATTGCCTGATAATTAAGTACACTTAATTATTTCCACTGTAAAAGGATTTGATTGATTTACCATCCAGTTTTAGAGGGTTAAAACTGTGGTATTACTTTTGTATTCTACAATTCCAGCCAACATATTCTGAATTTGATTTCAATATCAAAGATGTTAATTTATTTTCAATAATTGCCACTTGTATATACGAATCATAATAGCATTAGCATAATATATTTCAGATCTAGTTTTGATATCTTGACTAAATGTGCTTGTATCTTTTTAGATGTTTTTAGGGTCCAGCATAATAACTTCTATACGAGTTATCCTAATAAAAGCTTCTTCATTACACATAGAAAAACTGGGTTCTGTATACATAAAGGAAAAAAAATCAGGCTCTGACCCTTAGTTTTTCTCTATAACCAGTAGCTGGCACTTTCTAGAGTTATTTTATCTCATGTGTAAGAGATAATATCATATCGTAGTAGTCTGACAGAATGAATATTGTACTAACTTGAAATCTGTAAAAGCAACGAAAAATATTTAAACAAACCACTTATGGTAGTAGTTAATGAGTTTCCAGAAGTTGATTGCATCAGTCTGGCATCTCCTCCCCCCAAAAAAAATTCTTATAAATATTTTCATAGATTCAGACCATTCACTTTAAACCAGGTAAAATAGCATTCCTTGTAATGAATGATTTTTGCTTGTAATACAGTCTTGTATCTATTTTCACTATATTCTCAAGAGATCCAAATAAAATTTCAGAAATTGACATGCTTCTTACATTGATTTGAACCATTTTACATATTTCAAGCTTCAATCATAAATAGAGAACTTTATAACTGATGTAGGCTTGCCAAAAATTTTCATAAAAACCATTATCATATGCTAACAAAAATGTAAAAAAGTGGTAACCAGTGAAAAAGATTTTATTTCTGAGTTAACTTATATTTTTCCTTTTTTTGTGACTTTAAAAATTCAGTCTCTTAGTTGCATTTCATAATTTAATTGTTATATGCGTCTGCCCTTCAATTTAGATTTTCAGTTTATTTTGCAGTAGTTTTAAATACGAGGGCCATCCAGGAAGTAGATTATTACGTTTCCGTCTGTGTCCGCTAGGGCGGGGCTAGCGCGGCCATCTTGGGGTCAGAGCGTTGCGCAGCTCATCTGCATCTAGCCGTGCTAGTGAGAGGTTCGTGCTGTGCTCCGTTCAGATACTGTGACGGTTTGAAATGTCTGCGTTATTGAAAATCCCGCGAGCTGCGAGGTGCGCTCATAAAGGTTTCTGACTGCAAAAAAACTGTAAACCGATAGAAATCTATCGGCAGCTTCGTGAAGTGTATGGGGACAACATTATCACTGAAGGTGGAGTGCGTCAGTGGGTCATAAGATTTCAAAATGGCCGAACCAATGTTCACGACGAAGATCGAAGTGGGAGACCCAGCATAGTGACCGCCGAACTTTCGAAAAAGTCGATGCTAAAGTCCGTGAAAATCGAAATTTCACATACGGAACTTTCTTTGAGTTTTCACAAATTTCGAGTAGCGAAAAGCTTGGTTACAATTCAAAACAAGCGCAGAGGAATGTTGAGCTCTAAGATCTTGTTGATTCACGACAACGCCCGGCCCCACACGGCAAATGTCACTCGTAAAGTTCTTGAATCTTTTAAGTGGGAGTTGTTTTCCTCATCCGCCGTACAGTTCCGACCTGGCACCGAGCGATTTCCACTATTCCCAGCAATGAAGAAGTGGCTGGCTATGCAGCGTTTTTGATGACGACGCACAGCTGCAAGAAGGGGTAACGAAGTGTTTGAAGGCGCAGGCGGCCGAATTTTTCGACGAAGGAATTTCCAAGCTCGTACATCGCTAACGATAAATGCCTTAATTTGTATGGTGACTATGTAGAAAAGTAGATTTGAGTGTGGCTTTCATCTGTATATAATAAAATTTGTTTCCTATACTTTGTTTATTTTTTTATTCCAAACGTAATCTACTTTCTGGATAGCCCTCGTAGTATCATAAATAAATTTTAACACTAGATGGTCTCTTTAGAACAGCTTTTTGGTAAATCCTCAATTTATCATGATTATTTTCAGATTTTTACTGATATATTTTTATTTGTATTAGCTATGAAAGTTTTTGTGTGCTTTGTCTTAATTGAATATTCAATACATGCTAGTGTTATAAATATTGCTTATTATTACTTTTTCATATTATTTGGTTTGTTCAAATGTATAGGTAATGACAGGACCAAAAATTTCCTCTTTGAGGATATGTAATAGCCATTTTTTTTTTTTTTTTTTTTTAATGTAGCCTTGTTCATACTGCATGTTACAGAGATATTCTGTATGTCATGAGGAATGACCAGAGGCAATAGTAAAGTGTGCAGCATTGATTCATCTTTAGTCAGATGATAGATGTGCTTGACGAACATGCTGCGCATAAATGGCATTCTAACTGTGAAATTCACACTATCATATGCCTTCATGTGTTTATCCACTTGCTTCATGAGTTCAAGTGGAAAGATTTTGTTTGATTAGTTGTGTCTCGCATCATTCAACAGGTTTTTGTAACATTGAAATTACATGTAAAGGGCAATATTTTATGCATTACATTTATGGGGCAGTTTTTTTGAAAAAAAAAAGAGATTTCTCTACCCATGGTGATTATCCTTTATGACTGTTGATCAACTTCTAGCCTTCAGTGATGAAAATTGTTATGAGTGCATGTTATTCACTTAATCAAATGGCATTTGCAGGCAAAACACTAACCAAACATATCTGTCATCTGACTGGAAGCAAACCAGTGCTACAACCTGTTTCTTCCATAACACCTGTATGGTTAGAGCTACATTTAAAAATGGTTGTCTATTCCATATCTTCATAGCGGAAAATTTTAGCATAAATGTCATTTTTTCATTTGACCAAACCCATATATTTTTTATTTTTTTACTGAGAAAGGAATGTGATTAGAATAATGTTTTAATAATTTTTGCATGGTATTCAAAGTAACAGTATGAATATTCATAAAGAAAATGGTTGATAGATTAGCTAAATCATTTTCTCTAAATTCTAAAATTGAACAGCTAGAACTACACATAAACTACAGATCTACTTTGCATTTATTTATTTATCTGTACATCTTTAAATGGTTTAGTATTTTTAACCATTCAATTTCTTTTGCAAGTATGAATTTATAGTGCTTTTTTGTGCTGCTCTTGTTATAAAAGAATACAATACTTAGCATAAAAATATAAAACAATGTAGAATTAGACAATCATTTATATTTAAATGAGAATTGATTATTGCTTAATTATAGAAAATCATGCATGATAAGTTTTGCAATTAGATCATTAAAAATTATTAATTATCAAAATACAAAGGGTGTTTACCGATTTTTATGACAATTTCGATAAAGAAATTTAAAAAAAAAGGAAAGCAAATGCTTTGGAATAAAAATTTCTAGCAAAGCTTATTTTTTTAAATGAGAAATATCATCTACTTTTAAATTTATTCTTCTTTCAAAATGTCACATGTAAAATATCTGTAGATTGAAGGATATGCTTTTGCGCTTTCTGAAGAGAAATATTCCTATTCCATAATTTAGGACCATTGTAAAATGCATGGTATTAAATCTGTCATTCGTGTCAGTTGTAGTGAGAAAATCTGTCAGTTGTTGTTCTCGTGTCATTGTATGTGGGAAGAAGACTCCAAACAAATGCCTGAAAAGGTGCATACTGTTTCTAATATTTCTAAAGTTAATTTTTTGGTAACGAGAAAAGTCTTTAAATACATCTGCAGCAACATAAAATTAAATAATAAATCAAGGCTTGCAACTTAAAAGTGCTCAAAAACATAATGTGCACCAGCTTTTGCTTAGGCATGTGGCTTAATATAGAACAATTTGGTAGAACCCTGTATGCAGTGGCATAAATAAGGGTATGCAAGGAATGCAGTCGCATAGGGGCCCGAAGGCTTAGGGGGCCCATGAATATCCTGCTGAACTACATTTACATATTTAAACTTAAAACAGTATAAAAATCATGTATTCGAGTAGTTTAGTGTACCAAAAAGATTTCTTAAAAGACAGGGGCAAAAACTTTACCATACATATTTTCAAAAATTGTATGTTCAAATAGTTTTCTTTATGAAATTTAAGATAAATATGTTTTAAATTTAACAAATGTATCATTTACATTATAAAAGTTCTTATTTATGACTTGTATATTATTGCACAAGTCATTTTCGTAAGCTCAGTTGATCACAGAGTGTATATATTACTATATTAGTGTAATTTATACTATATTTATACTATATACTATATTTATTACTATATTAGTGTAATTTATACTATATTTATTACTATATTAGTGTAATTTATACTATATTTATACTATATAGTATTAATGCTATATTAGTGTAATTTCTTTTTCGCACGTTTAGCTATCATGTTGTCTGTCAGTTCATAACATAACCAGTTATTTACTAGCTTACTAAATTAAGGGAAAAAAAAAACTTGGATTGGCGCAGATTTTATATAGAAACTCGAAATATACTTGCATGTAAAATCTACTGATTTTTTTTAAAAATCTCCGCAAATCTAGACTTTCTTGCCCCCTTTTTTTTAAGCACAGTAAATTTATTGGGGGGTGGCAAGGAAATTTTTTGCACAGGGCCCAAAGAGTTCTAAATACACCACTGTCTGCATGACAGCTATTTAGTAGGAGCTAAATGATTGTGACCTTCGATGAAGAATGACTGCAACAAAAAGAGGTCTATTATTTATAAAAAAAAAAAAAGAGAGAGAGAGAGAGAGAGAGAGAAAACAGTATTCAAACTTGGTTCCATCAATGCAAAGAAAGTTTCTATAACGGGCTTATAATTGTTGCAGGATTATCTCACAATGGGAAATTAAAACTAAGAAGAGTAGAAACAAATATTAAATTAAACTTGATGTAGTATAAAAAGAAGGTTTTACATCCGATATTTACAGAAGAAATTCCATTTCTTTATTCTAATGACTTTCAAAAAGTGAAACTCCATTAAGACAAAGCAAAAAAGTCATACTTTGAAAAGTACATCTGCATTCCGTTAGGAAGGGAAGACTGATACAGGTATTGCATACTTCCTAAGAATATCTTTCCAACATATTCCTGGGAAGACTTGATGTTTCACCTGTGGACTATTATGCCTTTGGTCTTTTAAAAAGAGCTCTTTCTAAGTGCAAACCCACCACGTTTGATGGACTCTGGAAAGTAGTGAAAGAAGAATTGAAATCAGAACCTCCCCCCCAAAAAGACCCCTTTTTTCATGGGAATCATAATGCAAACTTATAGTCCAGAATAAAGGCTATTGGTACAAATAGTTAAAAAAGTACTTTTTTACATTTTAAACATTAAAACAGCCCCAAAATCATTCTAAAAATATGTAAATACCCTCTATAGACATTTATGTGTTTTATCTTTCTCTATTCAAAATATCATTGTTATATTTTTGGGACAAAATACATTAAACTCTTAATTACTGTGTGTTGTTCCCTATTTTATTACTTAGAGAAAGGGCCAAGTGACTTTTTGGAAGAGGTACTTGATTTTTGGTAATGTCAATCTTATTGCTAAACCTTGCCTTTTATTCATGGTTAAAAAAGCTTGAGTTCAGGAGTTCAGAAAGATGCAATGCACTGGGTGGTTTTTTTTTTTTTTTTTTTTAATAATCTTTGCCTTAATTAGCATAGGTAACAGAGAATCCAGTTTAAGCTCATATGCATTTAACAGTGTTGCTTTATTTTATTTCTGTCTTTTTTTTCTTATTGTTGTTTCTTACAGAAGTATTTTATTGCAGAGTTCTATTATTGCTCTCTTGCATTATAGTTTGTATGACGGTCACCTGAGTAATAATTTATATGTGTGAATATGACCACATATTATTTATATGTTATATTTATGTACAATTGCAACATTGTTGCTGTAAACTGCATATCATTGTACATACTACACTGTGCATATCTTTACTATGTAAAAATATATTTATTTTGAAATAAAATGATGGTAAATACTGGCAGCTGGTGATGAATTTTGGCATAGATTTTGAATAAAATTTTATCAGTTTTATGAGTGATCAGACTCATATGCCTCTTCTTCAGGAGTGAAAGATTTTTTTTCAGCAATTCTATTTTCTCCTTTCCTGAAGAGGAATTTGTGTCTAATTGTTTTTGAAATCAGGAGTTTTGTGTAAAATCTATGCCAAAATGAGGTTGCTTTATTTTAAACAAAATCGTTATTTTATTTTTCAAGCTAAATATGTATCCTGAATAAGTTATTTGCAATTTTAGTATTTATATTATTAAAAAAATTGGGAATTAATTTATTTTGGTACTATTCCATTTTAAGGGCCATAAAAAATTGCAGCAAAAATGTATGTGCAAAAGCGCCAAATCTACAGCGTGCCAAATCTAGTGTACGTGCTGATTTCAGATTGTGTAAGTTTATATAGTTCTATATTTCTTAAGATGCCACTAAAAATACATGTTTAATTTTTAAATCCTTTTTTGATATCCTATGGATTTAACAATTTGGGAATTGCCCATGACAAAAAGTCTGCGATAGAATTTTGGGTAAAGTGCAGAATCACCCACTGCTTGACGCGTTTTTAAGAATTGCACATACTTGGTATCCATGTACACATCGACTTATTTTCACTTAAAAAAAATCCCAGAATTGCACAAAAATGGCACTGCGCACACCCTTGACTTTATCTATGTACCATCAGTTATGTTTAGCAATTTTTATATACTAAATTATAATAATGATCTGAATAGTTATTTACTCTTATGCTTCCAGCCTTTTATATATGAATTATAATAATAAAAAAGTATTATATGAAATTAACCTTTCATCTAAATTAAAACATCAATCTTAGATAGTTATTTACTATTATACTTCTTTTCTTGTGTTAGGGTTGCCACAATTATTTTTGGCAGCACTGGCATCCACAATAATTTGATGATTTTTTACGGCCCTCAAAACCGAATAGCACCTTTATTTTTTATTGTATAAAAAGTCTGAATATGCAATGCAACTCTTTTTTTCAGGTATTCTCATACTTCATATCTGTGGAAAAATTATATTATATTGGTGGGAGGAGTAACATCTTTGAATGGATTTACACTTGGTATTGGAATTATAAATTTAATAACCTTAAAGGCCATTGAAATTTCATCTCCAGTAAGATATATTTTTACTTCTAATTACTAACAGTTATTATGAAAGTTATCTGTTTAATTATTTAAGCATCATCATAACACAGACCTTTTTTAAAACTAACTTATACCTCCTATATACAATTAATACAGTCTGTTGATTTAGTAACATTAGAATATAAGAGAGATTTTTTATTTTTTATAATTTTTACCTGTTATGCTGTCAGCTTCAATGCTGTTAAATTCCTGAATGCTTTACAGAAAATTATTTCCCAGGTAATTTAAATTTCTGTTTGCTGTAGAAATTCAATTTCATCAATGCTTAAAATCATAGAGCTGCTAACCGGGAAGAGTTAAATCTTTTAATTTAATACCCATCACTATTAATAGACACATTCAACGTAAAAGGAGAAATGATTTTTGAAAAACTGGCAATATTTTGTAATTGAATTAGTGTTTCTGGAAATAAACAAACAAAAACACTTTTAAGAAAACATTTTTAATCTATCCAACTGTACAAAAATAAAAATTTTGTTATCATGAAACTGTGAATTGATCAATTTCATTAACTGAAGATAATAAACAAATAGAAGATGCCAAAATTGAATTAAATTATGTATGCTACTTTGCATAGTAATCAAGTATGCTGGTTGCGATTCTCTCTAAAATTCATAGCATCTTATAGCTTGTTTGTTTAAAAAAACATTAAATTTGAAAGTACTGATGAAAATTTCTATCTTTGACATTACTATAATGTATTAAAAAGTAAATACAGAATAAAATAAAAGGAAAATTGTAGTGTTATCCAATCACTATTTTTGTAGTAATTTTTTTCTCAATCATTAATGAAAATGATTTTCCCAATCTTTAATGAAATCTCCCCATCAAAATGGCAAACGTATAGCATATGAAATTTTATATTAAAAATTTATTAAAGTAAATGTTTGTTGTTTATCCTTAAGATTCTATTGATATGTACATTAAATAGTTACCCTCTTCTATCCAAATAATAATAATAAAGGAACTCCAAAATATGAAACATATCCCTGGGAAAAGAGAGAATATAATTTTATTTATATAACAATAAAATGTTTTAAAAAATTAAGATTTAAAATTAAATGTAAAAAAGCATATACAAAAACTTATAAAATGGCAAAAAAATAGCTTAACAAGAAATAATTCGAAATCTTCAATCAAATCTTAAATTCTGATGATAATTCACTAAATTGGAAATTAAAAGATAAGAAAAGTGAAGTTAATAAAATGCAAAGAAAGCAATTAAGAAAAGTAAATAAATAATAATACTAAATAGAAAATTCATCGAGAAGAATTTATTTGTAATAATATAATTAAGCAAATTAACTAAAATGAAGCGTCTTGCTTGGAAATAGGCTCTTCCCAAACTCAGGTCATTTGAAATTTCATTTTAATAGTTGATTTTCTTTATTTTGTTATTAAAAATTTCAAGCTATGTGGTAAATTCTCCTCTCTGATTAAAATGCTTTGTATTTATTGTAATGATGTGTAATAAAGGGGGGGAAATGTAGAAAATTGTCTAAGTAATACTTTTTTAAACATTCTTGTTAAAAAGGACAAAGAGTTTGTTTTATAATGCATGAAACTTTCAAAATTTTATAAGTGATGTATTTTTTAGATGTTAAAATAACACGAATTTGCAGTATTTTTTAGATGTTAAAATATTAATAACACGAATTTGCAGTAGTTGAAGGAAAACAAGTGATTTTTAAAATATTTCTGAAAACAGGTAAATTAACTTACAGATTCAGAATAAACTTAATTTAAAAATATTATTTCACTCTATCTAATGGAGCAAATCACAAAATTCTGCAATTATTGTTTTGTTTGTAAAGTAAAGCTATGTGTAAAAAATCTATGAAATACGGAAAAAATCATTTCACTCCTTCATTATCCAGACAACATGTGCCACATTTTATAGCCCTTAATGTTTATCTGTGCTATTCAAAACATGCACATACACATACACACACACACACACACACACTGAAACCTACATGCAAACAGTGGTGAGTTATACAGCTCACATAGGTCATTTCTAATTTTGTCAGGAATTTTTTAAGCTACTTGTTTGTTTATTCTAACAAAAACATATCTTGCATCTCGTAATTATACTTACATTAATCTCTCTTTTTTGGGAGGAAGTTGGGTCTCTGCTTTTATCAAAGTCCAATCAAATGTCTTGTAAGTGACCTAAAATTTAAATGAGCACTGAAAATACCATCTATTGTTAATACATTTATTCTTGGATATCAAACTGTTAACATTAAGACAATGGGATAAAGTTTTGTTGTTTAGTTTTGCATTCATATTTAGTTTTCTTTAAATGGAAGACATTTAAGAGAATTTAATCATATGTAAAAATCTTTTTTAAAAATCATCGCTTAACCTTAGAACTTCCTAAGAAATCAACTGACATGAAAGGAGAAAATAATTTGTGTTATCTTCTGGCATAAACTGTGCCACATAATTAAATTTACTTATTATTTTATGCAATTGCTTTGACATTTTGTGATTTTTTAAAATGTTTTTAAATTTAAAGATTTCTTTATTTAAAAAGATTTTGCTTCATGCAAAATCATTTGTATTTCTTTTTGTAACATATTTAATTAGAATTTGATATTTTGTTTTCATAAGGTGAAATTTCCATAGCTCACCACTGTGTGCAAATAAAAATAAATATACATTGATATTTATATAAATTACAACAATATGTAATTAAATCAAATTTTTATATAACAGCATTATGATAATATCTCTTTTTATGGATTTATGCCTCACAACTGGTTGAATGGTTAAAATTGTTGAATGCTGGTAGTTCATCTTAAATTCAAACCTAGGTGAATGGGCTGGCTGTATGGCTGGTTTTCTGCATGTATAACATGAATATGAGGCAATTTCCTATACAAAGTCCTGCATAAATATCTCCCTTTCTGTAGGCAGATAGCCCTCATGTACTTTGCCATATTCAAATCACCTGAACTAACCTATCATCAACATGTTTCAAAAACTTTTATATTTTTGTTCATATTTTAAATAATAATGGTATAAAATATGTCATACTGAAAAGTGTTAAGCAGTTTCAAGTAGTTAAATATGTTTATTAAGTATAATATTACTGCTAGTTTTTTAAAATATATTATCTGTATTTTCATCAGCAGGTTTGAAATTTGTTTTTAGAAAACTCATTATTTAATATTTAGAAAAAAGTTATTTAAAGTAAACTTAATAAATTAAAAGTAACTTTTGGAGTTGACTATATATGGCTGTGTAATAATCAAGCTGAACCTTGAAGGTAACTAACTAAAAGCTTCAATTTCATTTCTGATGTGAACTGAATTTATACTTTGTTTCCTTTAGTAAGTTCAATAGAATTTTTTTCTTCCAGATTCAGGATCCAGAATATCCGATTCTACTTTGTAATCACTGCAGCTATGTATACGAAGATCACATTTTTGTTATAGGAGGAGGAGGAAATTGTTTCTCATTTGGTACACATATTAATAGAAAAATTGTTCTTATTGATATTAAACATGAGTTGAGTAATTTTTAATATGTTATTGTGTAGACATTTTATTTCAAAGACACATTTGTATGAAAGGAGAATGATACACATGAAATTACGTTTTTAGTTAGTTGTAAAAACTTATTGATTAGAAGATATAGTAATCCAGGATTTTATTGATTTTATTGATTTTCACTGAAAACATATCAAACATTTCCCTATTTATCACATAGCTTTTTCATTTAGCTTAAAAAGATACATTATTTAGTGCTATTACACATATATATAACTGTAAGTAATCAAAATTTAAAAGAAATTGAGAAAAATTTTCAGCTGTACTCATTAAGGAACTGACACAAAAGGCTGCAAAACTCAATGCATACTATGAAAGAGAAAATAATGTTAATGCAAATATGTGCAGATTACTTTTGCTTTCGTTTGATAGAAGTAATCTGTTTACAATTTGTTATTGCTTATATTCTTACTGAAGACAATTATACTATTAACCCTTTGTGGCTCAGTGTTCCACTACATGGAACACCCAAATTGAATCGCTTCTGAAACCTTTAAATTCAACCGTAAATAGATAAAAATGCCTTTGTAATATACTTTGAACTTTTCTTTTTAAACAGTAGATAACAGCATATCACAAGGAGACACAGAATTTTCATTTATTATTTGTTTTTAAAATCCACTTTTTTCAAGTAATTTTCTCTATTTTTTTGATGATATAAAAAATTTTATTTTGAAAAAAAATTAGGCATAATTTTGCTGGCTGTACTCCAAATTATTTGTTCTATATATATATATATATTTTTTTTTAATCTTTCATACAAAAACCATACGCAGAATCATTTAATAAAACCGGGTGTTGCATTAGCGGGAACACTGTGTCTCATGCTGTTACGAATCAGAACATCTGTACTTAGAAGAGAACATCCGTTGTTTATGTTTTCTGTTTCCATTGTTTGGGGGGGGATGAATTCAAACAAAGCAGTATTGAGGGGCAAGGTGTGTTTTCTGTTATGAAAGCCCCAATATTGGCATCTCGAATTTTTTGGGAGTAGTTTTTAGGCAGAAATTTTATTAGTAGCTTGACTCATCTTTACTTAGACCTGCGCGAATTTTTTGCTGTCGCTTTTTAGTTTCATTCCCGTTTATTTTCAATAATTGTGTAGATACTTTTCGTGTATGTATATATTATAAGCTTATTTTTCTTTATTATTAATATTAATCGTAGTTGGTTTGTGCTTCCATTAAAAAGGTGTGACTTGCTTTGAACAATTTAACGAAGCTAAGAAATAGGAAAATTTGTAAATATTTTTGTATATAGGATTTGTGTATATAGATATTTATCTCATTTATCCGTATATATTCAAGAATATTGTGTATATCAAGGAAACCATGTGTACAGCCATAATACAGAGTTTTTTCATTTTTATACAAACGCTTCTACTCATTTTCGTGCTTCACTGCAATGCTCGCTTAGTCGCACTTTTAAAAGCTCTGGCGGCGCAGTGTTCCACCTCATGGAACACCCACAGAATTAAAACGGTAAGTGCCATTTTTACAAAATTTTACCTGTATACTCCTTTAGGACTAAATAGACTGCATACAACGTTTTTTTGTTGAAATTCCAACGTTAACATATAGTGCGCCGCAAAGGGTTACACAAAATTGTGGTAGCTGGTGATTGTTAGTTTATAAAGTTACTTTAAATGATTTATTTTTATACTATCTATATACTTTTTTAATGTCAAAAAGATAAATAATAAAAAATAAAAACTTAATATAATTTACTATATGGGAAAAGTATCTTTTTCTACAAATTTAAGGGAGAATTGTTTGTTTAGTATGCATGAAGGAGTAATTGTAGGTGAGCAAAGCTGTATTTATATCAAAAGTGATTCGGTAGGCAATAACTGATAGAATTTTTTTAAAAATAAGTTCACAAAAGAAGGCAAGAGAAGTGAAAACTCTGATAAGTTGTCTACAATAATTACTATAGAATGCATAGTAAAAATGAAAACTGCTATAAATCTGTCATTCCTATACCATAGGAATGACAGATCTATAGCATTTATTCCTATTTATACCATAGGAATGACAGATTTATATTCATAGCTATAATGGGAAAGCTGGTACTTGCGGAAAATCCTGTCTACCTCAAGACACAGCGCCAAACCAAAAAAAAAAAAAAAAATTTACTAAATAACAAGAAAAAACGTTCTATTCTTATTTTTCTTCCAAATTTATTTATATTTAATTTTTCATTAAAAATTTCCAGTATTTTTTATGAAGGAGATATATTCTAAAAGCAATTATTTTCACTAGGTTTTAATTTTCGCGAGAAAATATAAGACTCGCGAAATACTTTTTTTCGCTATTCAACAGCATGCTCTTCTGTAGTAGGCAGGTCCCAAATTTTAATCTTTTTTTTTTTTTTTTTTTTTTTGAAAAGGAGTGATAGACAGAAAAAAGGAGTCTTTACTCAAGAATAATAACTAACACGTGTAATCAAGGTTACACCAAACGCAGCATGTTTGGATAAGAGTCTTCCATTTTTGGCAACAAATCACGTAGCTTGGTGTCTTTTCTTTAATAGGCAAAAATATTCGAGGGGGTTTTCCTTAAGTATCAAAAAGCTATATTAAGAAAGTAAAATGAATAAATACACTTTTTCAAAAGCTAACTAAATAGTTCGCAAATCGAATCTGATATAATAATACCTCTTTTTTACCAAGCCATTTATAAGATTATTTATTCAGTTACATTTACTGAAATTTTCTTCCAAGAAAAAAGAAGAAAATTTGCAAGTACGGTGAACACTTTCTAGGATGGTTCTATGTGATTTCGATCTTTTGTGGAGGTGGTCATCTTAGAGAAGATGACTATCATTGTAAAATAATTATCAAATTGCATAATGGATTTACCATATTCAAGGTTTATCTAAAGTACATTATCATTTTTTAAAGGACATATAGCGTGAGAAAGAGTTTACTTTTCTAATGAACTAACCACTTTTATGATAATGAAGATATTGTAATGATTTTGCACATTGTTGATTGACAGTTTTGTTCATAATGTAAAGGGATTTATCTTAAATTGAAAATAATACTAAGGCTGTTCACACATCTTTTAGATGATTTTCCCCCTCAGGGAGCTCACTTTTGTGAGTACGGGTGTGGCAATCCCGAGGTACCCTAGCCCTTCAGGGGATCATCTTCTTGATGAGACGGGTGTCACGATCCTGGAGCCCCAGTGATCTATCCTCTTTTCCGTCTCCTCTCCTCTTGGCTGGTACTTTTTCCCTTCCCTTCTCCCTCGTGGTTTCTCTCTACGGAGTTTGGGGCTCGTCACGAGAGACTGGAACAGACCTTGTCTCTAGTTTTCGAGTGGCGAGAAAACTGCCCACGTGTTTGCCGTGCGTGGAGACCCGTGTCGCTGGAAAGGAGGGTCCTGGTAGTTGAGGGGCGAGGTACTGTCCCCAACACACTACTTTGGCCTCTGCTTCAGCTAAACGGGAGGCACCTTAGTCGTCCTCACGGGTGTCAATCGGCTGGTCACTAGTCCTTGTGTCAGTGGCTTGGGGTCAAGCTCTCGGGAGTACCTGCTTTCGGGAAAGCCGACTGTGGGGCTTCAGTTTGCGTATAGGTCCGGCTAGCCCTAACACAGGAATCTGTGTTCCCTTGTTGGGCTCCGTGGTGGGCGGGGCCGTCGGACCCGAATCTTTTCTTTCCTATCTCAATGATGGCTAACCCAACCCTCAAATTTTTTCTAATTAAGGATTTTGAAGTCACTCAACACCTAATTCTGAAAAGTCTACTGCTAAACCAGTCACTCAACCTAGTCCTGAACAGTCTACTGCAAAAAAATTACGGACAGATGCAAATGCAAATAAAATCATAACAATAGTCCCCGTTTCCTAGTCATCTCTAGTCCTTCTGGCGAAGAGCTGCATAAGATGTCTCCTTTCATAATAAATAATATTCATTCTTGTATTGGTGAGCCGAGAAATAAAAAGCGTCTCCGCTCCGGAGACTTGCTTATTGATACAAACTCAGCCACCCAGTCTGCTTCTTTACTTCAAATAACTAAACTTGGGCAAGCGAATGAACAGCACATAAGACACTGAATTATTGTCGTGGCGTAATATCGGAATTCGACCTTCTGTATGTTTCTGAAGAAGAAGAGATCGCTTCCGAGCTATCCGACCAAAATGTCTGCGGTGCTAGGCGGATCAAGATGCGTAAGGAAGGTAAGTTGATCGATACGAAACACGTGATCCTTACCTTCAACACGCCTGATCTGCCTAAGAATATTAAGGCCGGATATTAAAAATTGTCCTGTAAGACCTTATATTCCCAACCCTATGCGATGCTTCCAATGCCAGCGTTTCGGCCATTCTAAGACGTCTTGTCGTGGCAGCCTCACATGCGCCCGATGCTCACAGATTGGCCACGATTCTGAAAATTGTACCGCTGCGCCTCTTTGTATAAATTGCAAGGGTGAGCACCCAGCATTTTCACGCCTCTGCCCAAAATGGAAATTGGAAAAAGAAGTGCAGACTGCAAAGGTTACGAGGAACATCTCATATATGCCGAAGCCAGAAGATTAGTCCAAAGCACACAGCTACGACCAAATACATCTTACGCCAATGCTCTTAAAAGATCTCGCACAGTTGCCACCCAAACATCAGTTAGTATGCAGACTCCACCAAACAAAACTCAACAGACTACAAACAACAAGAAGAAGAAAAAACCCAACCCATACAGTACAAAATAAAGAAATAGTAATTCAAAGCAAACCCAAAACTACCACACACAAAAAGAAACAAATAAAAATAGAAAGTTCCAGCAATAGCTCTCTTGATGGAATGGTTTCTGAATCTGCGGATTCAGACGGTATGGAAGTAGAAGAGGGTCTGGAAGTTCCCAGCATCTACTTCCCACGAAAAACCAAACAAGAGCACAGAAAGAACAAAAACCATTCATAATGGCCACCCTCGTATCATGGAACTGTCGCGGTTTCCACCGAAATCTGCTCGACATCAAAGCTATAATCAATGTTCATCATCCTGTATGCTTCGCAATACAGGAAACAAATCTAAAACCGGAACAACAAGCAAAACTTCGGAGGTTTTCTTTCGTCAGGAAGGA